GAGGTCGCTTCCGAATCGGCGCATACGCGCAACAATAGCTATGGCGCGGCGACGAGGAAGGCGCGACCGAGGATGCAGTGGCAGGCACGTGGGAGTGGCCGTCGGCGGGTGGTGGTGGTGAATCGGGAACGCTTGGGGCTCTGGGGTTGTCGAGGTGGAGAGATGCGGCAAGGCGAGCGAGCGGAGAAGATGGGGGACGAGACTGCGTGCGCGCTGGCACTGTACAGCGAGGAGCGACACCGGACTAGACCGCACAGCAGGGCTTGGAGCGGTGGCTCGCGGGAACAAGACCAAGCGATGGCCTTCGTAGCTGTCTTGCTGAGGTTGTGCGACAATGCATCTGCATCACATGCGCTTCTGGCCACGGTCGGATAGGCGCGCTGCACAAAGGGTCCCGTCTGCTGTGGGGCTCGGTAGGCGATTTTGACGGGAAGGATAAGCTTGACTACCCCAGGCCACGATGCCAGAGATTCCCAGGCACACTTTGTATATCTTTGCTATGATCTACGAGACACACAGCGCTGGCACGCTGACTCCTTCGGTAGGGCTTCTCGAAGGGTCAAGCCGAACGGTGATCATCCTACGCCATCCCCCCAGTGGCGTCTCCTACTCTAGCTATGGACCCGCTCTTCAGCTGTAAAAATAACCCTGAAAGCCTCAAGCACCTCTAATCCGATGTCGCCTACACGGAGGACATCTGTGTCTGCATTCTATGCTTGTCTATCGAAATCTGCCATGCCTATCGATTCGATAGCGGAGAGGCGCAGCAGCTCTACCAGGCCAAAGCTCGCGGATCGCCTTGCGACAGGGCGGGATCAGCCGAGTGAGCGCGTCGGAAGGGCAGCTCCTTCGAGGCCTTCAGCGACCGTGAGACTGAATCAGACGGCAGAGCTGATGATGCAGACATCAAGAACCACGGGCTGCAGCATGAGAGACCGCTGATCTTTGGGTGTAATGGTTGGGATTATCATCCTGCGGTATGCATGCAGGACAAGCACGAGATACACGGAAACGCCGACGGACCCTTTGAGAAAACCATCCGATCCGAGTACATACGGCCCACGGCCTGAAGGGTGCTTGCATGGTATGACATCAGATCATGGTACGAGCGATACAAGTAACCAATGGGATGCCAGTCAGTCCCGGAGAGCAAAAAGCAACCAGCACACGCACCCAAAATAACCCCAAACACCGACCAAAACATTATTAACCGAAGTCGCCAGGAACATGAGTATCTGGCAGAGGTACCGAGCAATCAAGCAGGCGGGATCATGGTCCAGGTCGCAGCATCACAGCTGACTTCCTCAAAGTTGTGCATGACATCGAAGCCCATTGCCGAGAAGCCGTCGAAGTTGCCGTCACCGTCCATCTACTTGCGTTAGTACCTTGTCGTGACCAGCATTAGACGGCTACTTACATAGTCGAGCAAGCATGCATTGCATCCCAGCTGCTTGATCTGTCGCATGCCGAGTAGGATCAGCCCCTGCAGTAGTGTCGAGTATTCTCCTACACCAGGTGATATGACGGGCGAAGAGATCCCCCCAGCCGCCTCGTTCAGGTCCTTCAGTGGGGGTATGTATTCGGCAAGTCGTGAGTGGTTGTTGTATAGCACGACAGTGCCCACCAACGCACCGTCTTCTGGTCGCTTGGCTCGGATGATGCCACAAGCCGTCGGGTCCGTAAGCGCAAGTTTGTACACCTCTGCTAGACCCTGGCGGTTGCTCGTCTTGATATGGTCGAGTATCGGTCCCGCGTAGTCCCACCCGTACACAAGATCAAACTGTGCGCCTGCGCTCGCTAGACTTTTCGCCATGCCAGTCGGCGGATTCCACGTCTGCAGATTGCGCGCTACCATGTTGCAGACAGGACGGGAAAGTGCAGCACCCCAGCCTAGCTGTGCAAACCATGATCGGAGCCGTTTCCGCTCGTTTCCGTGTCCGGTTGGGATTCCAAGATACATACTTGGCAAGCGTGATCCAAGCTGGAATCTCTTGATACCTTCTTTCTGGAGTAGCGTGCGAATAGCCCGGTTGTGCAGGGAATGACCGATGGAGAGCTTTCTCCTTGCTGGGTCGACGAACAAAGCGCCAATTACACCAGTGCCCGTAGCCTTGAAGAAGTACGTCGAGCAGAAGCCGTAGAGAGCTTGTGTGCTGCTGTTTCTAACAACAAAGTGTGACTCCTCCACTTCTGGATGATGCAGGATGAAAGAGCTCGAAGTTGCACTCGACATCTCCGACCGTTGGTTTGGTGCCGTTTCCTCCGCGACAGCTGTGACCAATGTATCCAGAGCATTGCTGTCTCGCTCTTCGTTGAAGATTTCCACGAGCCAATGTTGTTTGGATGGGTGAAGCTTTTGGCTCTTGCTGATGGTTCCTGGTAGTGTTCCGGAGGGGGATAGTTCGCCATAAAGTACCCTGACCAGGGAGTTGAGTGCAGTCTCCGTGAAGTCATAAGTGCCTGATGAAATTAGCTTCTTTGACCTTCGTTTGGACACGGACATGACTTACATATGTAGGTCCCAATGGTGTTGTCCATTGCGAAGTCGTACGGTGAGGAGACTGCGACCACAATGAGTGGTTTCTCACGCCTCTCTCCACCAGTTGTGTACTGCATGTTGCATATCATTGAGACATGCTTTGTGAATCCGTGCTGATACAGGTTGCGGTTTGCGTCAGCCGTAAGGACGATAATAGCACTCGCCCGATTGATGAGGTTTTCATGAACTGGACGGACACCGTTCGCAGTGTACGATGTGTGAAGCAGTCGTCCGTTGCGCTGTCTAGCAAGAGAACGACCCAGTTCTTTGAAGACTCTTTCTCCGCTCATGACTGAAGAACTCCGGTCCCAAGCAGCTGGCTCGGGCGAGTGACCCGCTGCCCCATTAGCAGCGTCGGATATCGCTCGTGATGCAGCGGATGCCGCCAAAGGCTTCACTAATGGTGTCAGTAGGAGAAGCTCCTCCTCGCTTTCGAGTATGTTTGTCAGTGGCAGAAGCCTATTTTTGTCGCGTACGACTGTGATGGAGCTGTTGTACGCTTTCGTTGACAGTGCGGTATGTGATGGCTGTAGCTTTTCCAGGTAGTTGATGCCTGGCGGGTTCAATGCTTTTTCCCAGGATGTGCACTTCTTCTTCATCGCTAGCACACGTCTGAGTGAGTTGAAGATACGTTCCTTCGAGACCATTTCGCTTTCTATGCCGGTCTTGAGGCCCTTCAGCCCTTCTTGTTGGAGTGAGAACGACCGGCATAGGAGGACTACGTCGCAGCCTGCGTTAACTGCCATGACCGTGCCGCCGCCTACACCGATGTTGTGACTGAGAGCATCCATTTCTAGACACTCGGAAACCACTACACCGTCGAATTTGAGATCTTTCCGAAGAAGGTCGTCGACAACTTGTTCTGACAGACACGCGTGCATCGCGTTGAGCCCCGCCGAGGACATGGCGCAACCACCAACCATCATGGAATCAAGACCTCTTTCGATGGCCTTCTTGAACGGAACCAAAGCGCTTAGACTCAGCTGTTCTAGCGACTCTGTGATGATCGGCACGTCAAGTGTTGAGCCCAGAAACTCCAGATTGCCGTACGAAGGGAAGTGCTTCCCCAAAGTCACCACGCCGGCGTCCTTGTAGCCTGCCATAAAGGCGCATCCAAAGGCGGATACTTCCTGAGGATCGTCGCCAGCAGTCCGTACTCCCAGGGGCTGATTGCGCGCATTTGTGAGTACATCCAGACATGGCCCGAAGATCCAGTTGATGCCACATGCAGCAATCTCCTGTGCGGTCGACTTAGCTACTTCAAAGGCTAGGTCCGTGGAACCGGTTGCTGCCATTCCCATGTTACTAGGATACTGGCGGATGTAGATGTCATCGAAAAGACTGTTGACGCCGCCATTCTCCTGGTCGATGCCGATGGCCAGCGGAACAGGGTGTCCAGCATCGTGGGCAATCTTCTGGAGCTCGTAGATAAGCGCAGTAGTATCTTCGGCGGCTATGACAGGTCAGCCTGACAGTGACAGACCGAAAAAGGTGGATTACCAACATTTGCAATTCTTGGCAGTAAGTAGTATGGAGCCAACATGATGTTCCTCGATCAGGGTACGAATGTGAGGAGTGACCGAGGTGCCATCGAAGCCCATCATGAACAGTTGGCCCTACAGCACCTTTGTCAGCGAATCCAGTCGCAGCATGGGCGGAAGCGACCCACCATAGTCCTGCATCACGGGCAAGTTAGCCTGACCTGTGGTCACATTGCGCAAAACTCAGGAAGCCTGAGGGGAGGAAATGCGCCCGACGCGAAGCTCACCTATCGAGGTCATCCCAGACAGGGTCCATGTTTTCGACCTTGCTCATAATGACAGCGCCGGTCGCGTCGCGTCGCAATGAAGTCTGTGGATGCGACGTGGGATTTCCGGGTGGGCACCAAGACTCCGCCGGCGTGACTCGCAGATCGGTAATGGTGGATGGGAGATGGGGAGGATGGCACCGTAGCATTCACGCTGTTCGCGGCTGGGGTACGTGATTAGCGAGGCGCTAGAAGCATGCACCCCCGTCCGTCGTTACACCATCCTCGTCCCTCTGCTATCAGCGACATCCACTCTGATGCCACCTCACATGCAACCGCAATCCATCCGGTTTCTTCGGCGGAATGTGATCATCGCTGTGTTACCTCGATCTCACGACGTCGGAATCCACATCCAGTCACCTTGCGCAGTCTTACAGCGTGCGCTCCACGGCAACGATACCGGCCATGGAAGGTAAGTCTGCCCGGCCGTGATGACTCAATGGCATCATCTTAGGAAGATGAGCGTAGGTATGCAGTTGCGATAGAAGTAGTAGGTAGGCGTCAGATCCTTTGCAACGGTTGTTGAGTCGCGCCTGCGCAATAGCAACCATCCAATCCATCCTATCATTCTCATTTCTGAATCACATCTCTATACTTCCATCATTATACTTGGCAAGCTTCCTTCATTCATTGGTCCTCTTGACACGACCCACGATGCCTTCAATCGTGCCAATCCCCGACTCCCCCATACGAGAGGACTCATCAGGCGTGATAAAGTTCACAAACTGCCTCCTCGTAAAAAACAACGCACTCGTCCCACAAGATCTCTGGATAAGTTCCGCGACAGGAAAAATCCTAAACGGTCAAGAAATCCTCTACTCATACCGCACCGCCCCGGAGCAAATCGTCGACCTAGGCGGCCGCATCCTCTCCCCCGGCCTCATCGACACGCAACTAAACGGCGCCTACGGCTTCGACTTCTCCGTAATCCCCTCAGACCGCGAAGGCGGCGCATCAGCCTACGCCAAAGGCGTCTCGCGTGTAAACCGGAGTTTAGTAGCAACAGGCGTAACATCCTACCTACCAACACTCACCTCCCAACTCCCCTCAGTCTACCAAACAGCCCTCCCCTTCCTTGGCCCCTCAGGCACAACGCGCGACGCAACGCTCGGATCAGAATCCCTCGGCGCCCACTGCGAAGGCCCCTTCCTCTCCCCCACCAAAAACGGCATCCACAACACGTCCGTCCTGCGCACCCCAGACGACTCCATCAGCAGCCTAGAATCCTGCTACGGGGCCTCGAACCTCACCTCCCCCTCCCCCATCTCATTGATTACCCTCGCCCCCGAACTCCCCGGCGCACTATCAAGCATCCCCTCCCTAACCAGCGCCGGCATCCGCGTCTCAATCGGGCACTCAGAAGCCACCTACGAAGAAGCGAAATCCGCGGTAAAAGCCGGATGCAGTATGATAACGCACCTCTTCAACGCCATGCGGCCCCTCCACCACCGTAACCCTGGTATCTTCGGTCTGTTGGGCACACCTTCTACCTCAATCACCAAACCGTATTTCGGGATTATTGCGGATGGCATACACCTACACCCCACGTCTATAAAGATAGCGTGGAACGCGCATCCAGACGGGCTGGTGCTGGTGACGGATGCAATGAGGTTGGCGGGTATGCCGGATGGGACGTATGAGTGGACGAATGGGTCCAAGATTGTTAAACAAGGCGCCCTTCTCACCCTTGAGGAGAACGGGAAGATTGCGGGGAGTAGCATTCAGCTTGTGGATTGCGTTAGTAACTTTTTGAATTGGACGGGTAGTACGGTGCCGGAGGCGCTGAGGGCGGTTACGGAGACGCCTGCGCGGATGTTGGGGTTGGAGGGTGTCAAGGGCTGTTTGGATGAGGGGGCTGATGCGGATTTGTGCGTGTTGGATCTGAAGGAGATCGAGGGTGGGGAGAAGAGGTTTGTGGTGGATGAGGTGTGGAAGTTTGGGGTTAGAGTTTTTGAGAGGGGGTTGGAGGCATGATTGCGAACTTCTTTTGTTGAGTTGCAGCGACATCAGATTGTATAGAATAGATTACGCATTTAGACGGCATTCATGGTGTGGTTGACGTTCGCTGTCAAGTCAGCATGAGCATCACAGTACCAACATCAATAGAAACCCTTACAATATAACTAATGTTGTTCTTCTATCTATCCCTTTCCAATAATGAACTCACGCGAAATTTGTACTCGCGGTTCTGAACTCCCCCCATGGCAATATATACAGAAGCAGCGCCGCGACAATATGCGCCAGTGTAGCCTCCAAAACAAAGGCCTACTCTCCGTCCCATAGACGATACAGAAATGCGAAAGCTATAAACATAGCATGCTACATGTTTGACTAGACAAAAAGAGATGAGTAAAAAAGAAACCGAAATATGCCAGTGATGCGTAGAGACTCGTGAGTCAGTATTAACAAAACGCCGTGGAACACCAAACAGGCGAAATGGACCCAATACCCGTGTGGAGAAGAAAGGAGATCGACAATCATGCTGTGACATCGTTGCAAGAAGAAAAAGAAGCGCTCTAAACCAGGTTCGTCGTTTACTTGAACATCCATTGACAGTGACAAGCATCATCAGGGTCCACGCGGCGTTGAAGATCAACAAGGTTCTCGCGCTTGCTCTTCCTGTCGAATGTGATGGTTTGCGAAGGTTGAGCGGCAAAGTACTCTTCGTAGCTGGGATCTGACTCTTGTAGCCATATTCTGATTGGGCTGTCGTTCGGGCTAGGTGATGTTACTATCTCGCCGTTATCGAGCATGAGCATCTGTTGACAGTACGGTTGTGACGCCCCAGGGAGCCGGCGTTCTTCTATCTTGACGATCCGGGGATAAGGTGCCATGCGAGGGGCTGAAGAAGCATCTGACTCGGAATCTCGAGCGCGAACGGGTGACGGGGCGGCCAGGTTGACAGGGGAATTCGTTGGAGACGCGGTAGTAGTTTGTGTAGAGCTGGTAGAGACACTACTCTCAGTCGGCACAGCGACAGCAACATTTACAGCCGCATCGTCGGTTGGGTCGGGCGTGGGTGTAGGCGTGGGCCATTGGGTAGGGAACGAGGTAAATGTGGCTGCCGTCGAGTTGTCGTCAGCGTAGATGTAGCCCTCGATGTATGTCTCGTTCCAATAGCAATACCAGGGCGTATCACCAGGTTGAACCTTGAAGCGCTGTCTGTATTTCTCATCTTGTCGTTTTGAGAGTCCTGACCCGGTACTGAGCTCGGTGGGTGACAAGATGACTAGCTTATCGTATCGAGCAGAAAAATGATAGGCTGGACCGTAGGCTTTGAAATCCAAATCAAGTACCAACTCCATCGGCTTAGTATCAAGCACAGGAGTCTGGAGGCCATATAGTATAGAGTTCGACGGCACCGAAGGTCCGCTACCCATGGACGCAACTTGTTGAATCTCACCACCAATGACGGTATCATTGATAGTTATGACGAGCGGAGCGAAAGTCATCCGGCATGACCATGCAGAATACTGATTTGCTTGTGTTAAGCATCCCGATTGTCCGTATTGCGGTAAGCCCAGAGGAAGGGCGAAGGATCCTGTTGGTAGCGGCAATAGGCCAGACGGTGTTGAGATGGGAACGGCGTCGAAAAGCGATCCATTTTGACCCGTAACCTGCGGTTGTCTAGCGAGAGTTAGTAAATGTTTTCGTTGATGGATCATGAGCACTTACGCTTCCTCATGAGGGCTGCCATTTTCATTCTGGTCGTCATCATCATTGTGTTTCTTGGCAGCAAAGGTACCAATGGCTGCTCCGAGGGCGACAGAGAATACTAGTATGAGGACAAGAACCACAAGCGCGACGCCCATAGGCACCCTTCCCCATAGTTTCCTCTTACGCCAGCTGACCTTGCCTTCGACTGGCTCCGCCTTCTCCGAGAAGTGGTTCTCAGACGCCAGTAGAGATGCAGAGGACGAGTCGGAGGGTTCTGCTGGTACGGTACTACTTTGTGCAGCGGCAGAGTTGGTAGCCGCAAGATTGCCGGTTTGGGTTTCCGGTCTCTGAGGTGGCAACCGGGCGGGTGTAACGGACGGGAGTAAAGGAACGGCAGGTAGAGGGGGTGGCGAGAACGAGGTAGTGCTCAGCGGCGAGACAGGAGATGCGGGTGTGTTGAAAGGATCCTCTGCGTCAACTTGGACGGGCGCGGGTATGACACGCGACGACGCGCTTGCCTCGGCTGCCAAAGAAGCCTTGGTGGGTCCTTCCTCTGGATATCTCGAGTACGGTGGCAGCTGCTCGGTGTGTCCGTCGGGTCCGATGATATCCTGCTCCTCGCCATCCGGCCCAAGCACTCTGTGGTAACCGTTGTTCAGGCCCGGGAATCCTACGGGAATAGTCGACTGGACCTGAGGTGGAGGTGGCTGGGCTGGCTCGTCCGGTGACTCTTCGTCGACAATGCCGCTTTGCGAGTACATAGCATAGGGATGTGTCGGCCGCTGCAGTGACATTGATCGATGTGGTTGGCGTTCTGTGGAGCTCGTTGCTACGCTGAGTGGCCGTGCCATTGATAGCTGCGGGTACATGCCATATGGATGGCTCGGGCCCGTCTCGAACGGGTTCTCGGAATTGCTCGTCGTCGCAAAGGATCCCGCAGAGCTCACAGAGTCGCGATGTCCAAGGGGCCTGTGGTGGCTGGGCCCTCGGTTGAGGGGCGGTCGGCCACCGTCTTGCGTCATCGAATCCCGCACCTTGGCCGTGCTGTTTCGCGTTGCCGTCCTTCGCAGGTCGCTCTGGTGACTCTCGGGCGCCTTGGACGTCGATGGTTGTCGTTGCAGCGCGTCTATCCGGTCGTGATTTTGGCTGTCGCCCTGCCAGGGCTGGCTCGCGTTGGCTGGTCGGAAGCCATCCGAGACGGAGGGCATGAAATCATCCTCGTCGGGGTCGATTTCGTAGTCATCGTCAAAGACATCGGGGTTGCTCGGCTGGCGCGGTTGTTCGTTGTTGTCGCTGCTGCGTCGGTCCATGACGCCGAACGGTCCCTGAGCCCCAAAGGCCCTTCCTGGTCCCCCTTACAGTCCTCCCCGATGGCAAAGCAGGCGTGTCGTCAAAGAATTAATCGAGGTAGTGCGCGATCGGTAGCGATGAGGGTCGCGCTGGTAGCGAGTGTGGCGAGAATTGGCGTGTGTCGTGTCGTGTCGTTGGTAGCGGAGTGAGGGTGTATCAGGTTTGGCAGAGGTTGTCCTGAGACGCTGGCGCCACTAAACGGCGCACGGGCGAACACCCAAGCCTGAACATCGATAAGCACCCCTTCGACATCGCATCCTTCGGCTCTCTGACCAGCTCACCAAGCTTCTGACATGTGCACTTTAGTTTCTGCTATGTACCTGCACCTTCTGCGCTTAATTCCCTCCCGTCGTTCTTGAGTCTCTGCGAGTTCATTTCCACCCCTCTCGCATTAATATAGAGCTACTTTAGGACGACCTGGCCTTACCTCATGTGCTCTGCCGCTTTTCTGCATCATACCTAGGTATTCACGTGCACCCAGCGTCATGCATGGAATCGCGGACTCTACGATATGCCCAGTCGTTTGACCCGGGCCCATCTTCCCTAACGTCGGGCAAAGTGCTTCTTTCTGATCAGGCAGACCGTATTTAACAGCTATTAAGCACGATGCCCGACTATGACATGGTGCATCCGGGATCGTGGAAGGGGCTGCCATCTGGTCCGCGACATCTACATGTCTGTGGATGTTCGGCTCCGCACAGGTTCCCGGACTATGATACGTGTTGACGATATGGGGCTCGTTGTCATAGACGATGAAGGTAGCTATTGTTGCATATTGATCTTTCTGCTCAGAGCTGCTCAGGTCCCGTGTGCTGTCATCCGCCTGATCGTCAGTGACTCCGCTCCCGCTCCTAGAAAGAAGCTTTGGATAGGGGAGTTGATGCCCTGTCACCATACGACATTTTGGATAATAAAGTTGAAGAGCGAACCGGGCACATGGTACTTATGTACTTGTGCTCTGCATCGGGGAGCCCATGTCAACCTTCGGCCATGACGACAACGGCGAGGAATGCCTAGGATGGCCCAGCCTGTTCGCCCGCTGCAGTTCAAGGTTCAGCCTGGGCTCCGACATGCGGCTATGGGGATATCAATTCACCCGAAAATGCATACCTATAACGTCAGTTGTTCTCATCCTAACGCCACTCCCGGATACTTGGATCAATTCCATTCGTCAGTTGAAGTCTGGGCCGTGCTTGACATCCCTTATCCGACTTGGGATGCTCCTGAGCTGCTTTTTGCCATTGATCGTCTGAGAACACGACTGCAAGCTGAACTTAGAGTTTATATGCCTCTGCGATACCACCTTCCATAGAAGAAGCCAAGTGATCTCGGTGGATTACTACCTATCAAAATCATCCCGCCCACCAAGTACGTCGTAGATAGCGACCGCGGGAATCTAGGCAGCAGTCTGGCTAAACGCGAATGCCCTCGTTTTCGGCCGAGTTCTACTGAGGATGTGTGATGCCCTCAGCACAATGGGCAACTCGGGTCCAAAGCAATGACGGCCTTCTCGTCTGATGTTATCAGATACCTTGCACTCCCTCATCCAACAAAGATACCGCAGCACCGTGACGCGGCATTACGCATGCCGTGGAGGCTGTGTTCTGGCCAGGACGTAGGTAGCCATGTTTGTCGAGTATCGCGGATGAGGTTGCTAGGGGGGACTTGTTGTGATGGGCTGATGGTTCCTGACTAGCTAGTAAATCCCTGCATGCCAAGGAGCACGGCGATAGGTCGTCGAGGGCGTACGTCCTCCGCCCGGTGGAAAAGGGCCAACTCACGATGCTGGGGGCGCGATGAAGTGAAGTGAAGATATACGTTCGCAGAGCATGCAGCTGGGACGAAGCGAGCAAGGCGGCATGCAGGCGTTTCTTTTTCGCCAGACGAATGCCCCGCCATGCCGCCGGCCTCGCAGCCAGACCCTGAATGCCCCGAGAAGAATGTACCGAAAATCTCAGGGACTAGCAGACACAACACTGGGAGCGCGTGGGCCGCTGTTAGGATTGTTGAGTGCTAGGTCTGCACAAAACCCGTTACTTGTCCCCTTTGGAGCCCTGTACCCACGGCGTGCTAGCATTGCCACGAAACTGATTGCCGCTACTAAACTGCACCTTGCCATTGTCGCGTAGGATTTACTCGTCAAGTACTTAAGGCGGTGAACTCCCCTCTCTCGCCAACGCACTCCCTTCCTGCTCCTCACACAACACTATACACTCCTGCAAACATGGCTGCTCGTCCCTCCAACATCGGTATCAAGGCCATTGAGCTTTACTTCCCCAGCCAGGTACGTTGTTGCTGTCGTGGGCCGTGTCGCCGTCCCAATGCACATGCGCCCGCTGCAACCACGCCCTCTACACCAACATGCACTAACAACTCGCCCACAGTGCGTTGACCAGGCCGAACTCGAGAAGTTCGATGGCGTCTCCCAGGGCAAATACACGATTGGCCTCGGCCAGACCAAGATGTCCTTCTGCGACGACCGTGAGGGTGAGTCCAAGATTTTCTGCTCGCGCGACCCCGTGTACCCCGAAGAGGAACTGACAGGTGCTCCACCCAGACATCTACTCGCTCGCCCTGACCACCGTCACCTCGCTCTTCAAGAAGTACAATGTCGACCCCAAGAGCATTGGCCGCCTCGAAGTCGGCACCGAGACTCTGCTCGACAAGTCCAAGTCGGTCAAGTCTGTGCTCATGCAGCTCTTCGAGGAGTCTGGCAACTACAACATCGAGGGTGTTGACACTGTCAACGCCTGCTACGGAGGAACCAACGCCCTCTTCAACTCCGTCAACTGGATGGAGTCGTCGGCCTGGGACGGCCGTGACGCCGTCGTGGTCGCTGGAGACATTGCGCTGTACAAGAAGGGCAACGCTCGCCCGACTGGTGGCGCTGGATGTGTCGCCATGCTCATTGGCCCCAACGCGCCCATTGTCATGGACGCTGGCCAGCGTGGTTCCTACATCAGGCACGCCTACGACTTCTACAAGCCCGACTTCACTAGCGAGTACCCCGTCGTCGACGGCCACTTCTCCGTCCGCTGCTACACCGAGGCTGTCGACGCCTGCTACAAGGCCTACAACGAGCGCGAGAAGACCCTCAAGTCGCAACAAAATGGAAACGGGGTGAATGGCAGCAGCGAGCTCGAGACTGCTCTCGACCGCTTCGACTACATGGCCTTCCACGCACCTACCTGCAAGCTCGTCGCCAAGTCGTACGCGCGTCTGCTCTACAACGACTACCTCGCCAACCCCTCCAACCCCATCTTCGCCGAGGTTCCCGCTGAGCTTCGCGACATGGACTACGCCACCTCTGTCAGCGACAAGACCGTAGAGAAGACCTTCATGGGTCTCGCTAAGAAGCGCTACGCGTCTCGCGTCCAGCCCAGCATCCAGGTCCCAACCCAGTGCGGTAACATGTACTGCGGCAGTGTCTACGGTAGCTTGTGCAGCTTGCTCGCCAACATCAGCAGCCAGGACCTCGAGGGCAAGCGCATTGGTATGTTCAGCTACGGAAGTGGTCTGGCCTCGTCTCTGTTCTCCTTCACCGTCAAGGGTAGCACCGAGAACATTGCTAAGCAGCTCGACATCCAAAACCGTCTCGAGAAGAGGCGTGTAGTCGCCCCTGAGGTTTACGACGAGGTAAGTCCTTGAGATCTAGAATGCCACAGAACAAACCGCTAATATTTCTACCAGATGTGCAACCTCCGTGAGCAGGCTCACCTCCAGAAGGACTTCACCCCCAAGGGAAGCGTTGACACCATCGTTCCCGGCACCTACTACCTCACCGGCGTCGACGGCATGTTCCGCCGCTCCTACGAAGTCAAGCAGTAGACGCCTTGTCTGCCGCATTATACCCACCACAACTTCATTTCTTCCTTCGCTTGCATTCTGAGCATTTGCGGGAGTCATCTCCATGATTCAGCTTAGACTCAAAAGGTTGCATTATTTCACACTTGGCGTATGGGACAGTGGCCCCACTTTGCCGACCGCAGGGTTGTGGGAGTCGTGGTACACGAACATTTACGACGGATGATAGGGATGGGAAGGATCACATGTATATTGTCTAGATCTGCATGGTGGCATGACAAGAGTCGTGCCATCTTAATATTGGCTTCTGAATGAGGCATCGACACTGTAGATAGACTAATGCGATGTTTACAACATTACCACGGTCCCACAACAAGGTAAAAGTCTTATCCATACCGACATCGGCGCCGAATTTCAAGACTCATTTTCATCTACTTTGAACAGGGTTGATGTATACTAATCCATTTGGGGGGTTTCTCGTCTTGACCATGGATGAACGAATCGTACCTCGGCTCAAACTTCAGCTCCGCGTCGCGATTACCGCCCCGCTGCGAACCTTGAAGCTTACGACAACATCTGAGCTTCTTTTCCCTTGATCTGAGCATTGCAATTGCGCATCGCTAGTACAAACTTCCAATACCCAACACATTGTGTAATCGTTACCAACTTCATCATGGGCAAAGAACTAGGTCCCGGCGTCGGCTTCGAGTTTCCCTCGTATGAGGTGTCCTGGCTCAAGCGCGATCTCCTGCTCTTCGCGAACAGCATTGGCGCAACCTACCCGGATGAGCTGCACTTCCTCTACGTAAGCAACTCCATCACAGCTCTCACACGCCTGAACCATACATCCCAAGCGCAATCCCCCGAGCTATCCAACACCTCTAACACCACCCTCAGGAACTGCACCCATCCTTCGCGGCCTTCCCAACCTACCCCATCATCCTCCCCTTCAAGCACACGGACCAAGAAGTCATCGACTTCTACGCGCGCAGCAATGCCGAGCCCATCGAAGGCGTCCCCAAATTCGACACCAAGCACGTCCTCGACGGCGAGCGCAAGATACAATTCTTCAAGCCACTGCCCGTGAGCAGCGAAGGGCGCAAGTTCGAGATCAGAAGCAAGGTGCTGGGTGTATATGATAAGGGCAAGGCAACCGTTGTCGAGACGGAGAACAGGCTTGTTGATGCGAAGACGGGGGAGACGTATAGTAGAGCTGTTGGCAGTGGCTTCTACGTTGGTCAGGGTGGTTGGGGTGGTCCGAAGGGTATTTCTTTCCCATCTCCTTCAACTCTCGCCGTGCTCGCGATTGAGCAAGTACCATTGTATAACACAAGACTAACGCACAACAGGCCCCAAGCAACCAAACTACCCCCCGCCGTCCCGCGCTCCCGATAGCACACACATCCACCAAACCACCATGGAAACCGCCCACCTCTACCGCCTAAACGGCGATTACAACCCGCTGCATGCGGACCCGGAGCCGGGCAAGAAAATGGGTTTCGGCGGCCCCATCATCCACGGCCTCTTCTCATGGAACATGTCTGCCCACGCTATTCTGAAGGCGTTCGGTGCATCCAAGCCTGAGAACCTCAAGGAGTTCCAGGCGAGGTTCGCGGCGCCGGTCAAGCCGGGTGATAAGCTGATTACCGAGATGTGGAGGACGGGGGATAGGGATCAGGATGGGTTCGAGGAGGTGAGGTTTGTGGTTAAGGTGGAGGGCGGGAAGACGGTGCTTACGAATGGGCGGGCGTTGGTGAAGTGCGAGGGGGGGAAGGCGAAGTTGTAGGGTAGTATTTACTTGACCGGAGACGTTGGACGTGTAGCGATCATATGAACATGAGTATATATCAACTGTACCAAGTCCAAACCTAAGCGCATACCGTCTTGAGCTCTTTGATTAGACATCTGACATGCATACCATCGACCCCGCCCAGAACGGCTAGATCCTCCGTCACCACAGCACTTCCCCATCCGGACTCACAATCAATCAGATAAGATGAACGTGCAGCTCACGTGCGCGACAGGGATGCGCGCGCCTCCGCCCCGTCAGGGACCAAACTGACGCACGAAACGCAACACCATGGCTCAACTCCGCGCTTCATGGCTCTTCGGTGTTTGCCTGATGGAGTAGGGCTAACTTGCGCAAACGTTTCACTTGGAACCGCGGGATAGAGATGAAACGGGAAGGGGACTGAGGAGAACGAGAAAGAGGCTGGCACCTTTAGGAGGAGCGACCTTAGCTGTTCGTCTCCATATCCCTTGCGGTTCGACCTCGTACGGTTACCTGGACTTTGTTCATATCCCGAAGGCAGTCCTCGTTTCTGTGCGTGCGAGCGAGACGACGCGATTCTACGGCGTATTCGAGTACATACACACCTGGGCACCCTCTGGTACACAACACGACACAACGAATCGCACGCGCTCCTCCATCGACTCCCACCACCCACCACCCACGATGCTCCTCACGCTACCCGCCACGCTCCTCCCCCTCCTCCTCACCCTCACCCCAACACGTGCCTACAAACCGCTCTCAGACGCCTTCCTCCGCGCCCTCCCCTCCCCCAACACCACCCTCGACGCAAAGAACAGCACGCTCCTCTCCCCCCTGCTCATCCCGCGCGTCCCCGGCACCCCAGGCCAAACCCTCGCGCAACACCACCTCTACGCCTACTTTACCAAAGAATTGCCAGCCTGGAACCTAACCTGGCAAAACAGCACCTCCGTGACCCCCACATCCGAGTTACCCCTTCCCTTTGCTAATCTCATCGCGCGGAGAGAGCCACCTTGGGTCGCGCCGGGACAATCGAATTTGCTCACGCTTGTTGCGCATTATGACAGTAAATTGCATCCAGATGGGTTTATTGGGGCGACGGATAGTGCGGCGCCGTGCGCCATGTTGATGTATGTAGCACGCGTGCTAGATCCGCATATAACGCGGATGTACGAGGAGATGAGCGCGTTAGGAGAGGGCGGGGACGTGGACATGGACATGGGTATCCAGATAGTGTTTCTGGACGGCGAGGAGGCGTTTGAGACGTGGAGTGATAGTGATTCACTCTATGGAGCAAGGTACGTTTCTCCCGTCTCAATTCATATTTGGGAAAGAAGGAAACTTCCATGGAATAGTATGCTGACAGAATATATAGGGCCCTAGCAACACACTGGTCCACGACCTTCAACCCCCCCTCTCCCGCCTCAAAATTCTACCAGAACCGCACTCCCCTCTCGCAAATCAGCCTCTTCCTTCTCCTTGACCTGCTCGGTTCCGCAGATCCACTCGTCCCATCGTACTTCCCAACCACACATTGGGCCTACGTACATCTCTCCACCGTTGAGTCCCGGCTACGCAATTTGAACCTGCTGGAATCATCTCCTTCCACACCCTTCTTACCGGATGTAAATGGGACAATGGGGCATGGGGGGATTTCGGATGACCATCTGCCGTTTATGGCGAAGGGCGTGGAGATATTGCATGTGATACCTAGTCCGTTTCCGGGTGTGTGGCATACGATGGAGGATGATGGAGAGCATTTGGATGGGGCGACGGTGAGGGATTGGGCGAGGATTGTGGGTGCGTTCGCACTGGAGTGGTTGGATATGATGGAGGTATGGGATGAGCCTGGAGAGGAAGCGACAGCGGGTAAGAGGTGGTTAGCATAGAACGAATAAGAAAACGCGCAAAGACGTGTTCGTGACATCAACCGTAATAGTGCCAAACCAGGACGACGATGTAAACAGGTAAACTTAATGTCTCATATCTTTATGTACAAAAAGGCTCGCCCATATCCATCATACCACTCGATCCATATCCCCTCGATATAACGATGCGTATGAATCCATGTCGTTAGATATATGCCGAACTCGCAGAAAGAAGAAAAAGAGGAAAACCGTGCAGATACGCGCGCATAATGCACAAAGAACGGGAAGAAACAGCCTGAACTCGACATAGTGCCATTAAGAACTCCCACATTGGATGAAAAAGTGAAAGCAATGCACCAGCGCAATGCAAACCCATAGCCCAGCAAAGAAAACATCGTGTTTACTGTAGCGTGGGAGACCGCAGCAACTTGAACTCATTCTGGGAAATCTTGTAATCGTAATCAGTCGGACGCTGTGTCAGGTCCTTGTCGGCATAGGCTGTGTCGTAATGACCATGCGTGAGGTCGTGACAGCAGCAACCGATGGGGCAAATTAGTGAAGGACTTGAACGCAGTCCAAGTCCTGTGTGGTAGGCTCCGGGTATCCAAGAAAAGACTATACGAATAGTACCGCCATGTACCGGTAAGATAGAACAAAGCAGAAACTTTTTGTCAGGTCCTGGAGGAACCTAGGTATAGAAGAGCAGGCTGCGTGTATGAGCATGTGCTCATCATACATCGAATTGGCCTTGGTTGAAGACATCGTGCTCGTTGCTGGGAACGATACCGGACATCCTATCTCCGCGTCCAGCAGGTCGGTCCCAGTTGACTTCGTCCGTCTCATCCTCGTCCATTCGCTCCAGGGCGTCGGTCCGTTGTCTGTCGTTTCCGAATTGCTGCTCCATTGTACTCTGGTCGGTAAAGGTGAAGCCAGCAAAGTTTGCTTGCATAGTCGGTGACAGTGGCGTGGATGCGGGGTTGACTCCGGAGGCCAGGGCAGCCGCGCGGGCGTTCAAAGAGCCAGCACCGTTGAGAGCATTAGTAAACTCGGGGTCGAAGTTGGAAACGTCGAGCTCTCCCTTGAGCTTGGGCTTGAATGGTGGTACCACGTTCTTCTTGCCCAGAGCCTCCCAGTCGATGTCGGCAAAGAAGGGATGAGCCTTGAGCTCCTCGGCATCGCGTGTGGCACCAAGCCTGTGCTTGGGGTTCCTGTTGAGAAGTCCCTTGACGAAATTCCTACCTTCAGTGCTGAGGGCGTCCCGGGGGAACCTGACCTTTCCGAACGCGATGTTCTTGTACATTTGCTGGGTGTCTTCTGCGTAGAAAGGACTCCATCCACAGCACATCTCGAAGACTAGCACTCCGAGCGACCAGAAATCGACCATCTTGGTGTAACCGTGTTCGTCCAGAAGGACCTCGGGTGCGAGGTACTCTGTGGTTCCGCAGAATGTGTTGGTGGTGGCGTTCTCGGTGAGGTTAGCCTTGGACAGACCGAAGTCACAAAGGGCGATGTGGCCATTGGCGTCCAAGAGGATGTTCTCGGGCTTGAGATCGCGGTACACGATGTTGTGCTCGTGCAGATGTTGCAGGGCAAGGATAAGCTCTGCAATGTAGAACTTGGCACGACCCTCCTGGAAGCGGCCTTCCCTCTGGAGATGCCAGAAGAGTTCGCCTCCCGACATGTAGTCAGTGACGAAGTATAGATCTGAGGGTGTCTGGAAGGAGAACTTCAGTCCAACGATGAATGCCGAATCAGCCATGGCTGTCCGGACAAGGATGTTGCGTTCTCCCAGTGTGTGTGCCACCTCCTTCTTCTGCACGATGACCTTCTTCGAAAGCACCTTCATGGCGTAGATGCGGCGAGTGTCGCGCTTGCGTACTTGGAAGACCTGACCGAATGTGCCCTTTCCGATGAGCTTGAGAATCTCAAAGTCTTCGGGGCCGTAATGCTTCTTCTCGACCTTTTGGAAGTTGAGCTTGAGGTGAATCTCTCCGGTAACAACACCTCCCTCGCCCTCTCGGGGCTCTAGCGGGAACCAGCCGTCGTATGGCTCGCTGTATTCGACGAGGTTTGGGCAGAAGCGGACGTGGCCGAGGAAAGCCTCACCGTTGGCGCGGTCGTAAACGGAGACGTCGATTTCAGCATGGTCGCCCACAACGTCACTACGATTGTCAGCATCACCACACGGGGAAGAGAAGGAGCTACTCACAACATGGCTTCGTGCTCCCACTTGGGGCTCGTCACTTCCTCCAGAGAGCCGTTCTCCCTGGGATCTGAGCTGTGGCCGCTGTTGCTGCTCTGTCGGCTCTTCATAGGAATGGCCATTGGAGTGCCCATCTGGCTCTCGGTTCGCTTCATCTGCATGGGCGGTCGCTTCGACTCATCGTGCCTGGGCCCGTCTGAGATGTACTCAGCCCATTGGAATTGGCAGACAACGTAGGGGTCTGTGCTGGGCCGCAGACCCCGTCCCTCGGAGATTGTGACTGAGAGCTTGCCCTTGGGCGCCACTACGGGAGCCGTCTTGCTCTCCTTGGATTCGTCGGACGCATTTGAAGTGCGTGATAGATTCGAGGGCACGGGCTTTGCTTCTTGGGAGCGGGTGCGCGGTGTCTGAGGAGGTGTAGCCTGTTGCAACGGCGCAAAGTCGCCTTGCGTTAGCTTCTCCGCTTCACCAGCCAACTGCGAGGTTGAGGGAGTTCGGGAAGAGGCACTGGGGGCGGGGCTGGGCAGCATGCTGGGGTGGGTGGTTGACTCTTGCTCCTTCTCTCGGGGGTCCGAGACCTGAGAAGTGACGGGTGCGGGGGAGGGGTTGACCGTGGAGGAGGACTTCCGCGAGGGCATAAGAGAATCACGAACCTGGCCAAAGTAACTGTGCAGAATACCCGGCAGTCGCTTGTCCGTCGGGTCGGGCTTGGGTGTCGTGGCACCCGGTGGCGTGGAGCTGGTGGAGCCGATCTGGTCGTGTCCGTCTTCGTTGCTGTCGTTGGTGGCTCTGTGCGGCGTTAGCAGTGATGACGAGGGCATCAGGAAAGTGGCGGTGAGTGTGGGAGTATGGGAAGGTGAGAGTGGTGAGAGAAAATGTAGGGAAGGAACGAGGGTGCACGTCGTCAGGACTCTGCACAGCTGCAAGCTAAGCGATGATGTGGTGTGGTGCGTGGCAATGCGGTGCATCACCATGACAGTCAGTATGCGCTTACCGTGTCATGGCCTGTCTAAGCAGGTCGGCGGCGCCAGACGAGGTGCCCGTGGTGTGCTGGGCCATGGTGTTTGATTTTGGGTGCGACTTGGACTGGCGGGTCGAGGGCGCGGTGCCGACGTTGAGCGTGGAGACGGTGGGAACAACACTGCTGCTCTTGTTGCGTAGATGATGGCGGGGTCGAATGGTCCTGGTTGAACTCTCCGAGGCGCGAGAGACTAGTCCGGGACGTTGCTGGCTGGCATCGACAGCGGGGCCTTGGGTGGACGCAATCTTGACGGTCTCCTTGAGGCTGGCGCGCGACGGGCTGCTGGAGTACGTGTCGCTTTGGGGGGAGGTCGAGAGCGAGCTGTCTGCCGGGTCCGCAGTTGGGCGTGAAGTCATAATAATCACTTGGGTCCTGGCTGGCTGCTCCGAGCGGCCTTAGCCCTAAACAAGCGCACTGCAACGACTGTGCGAAAACTCTGCTCTAGGACTTTAACGGGGCAGGCAGTCCGAGTCCTTCCAGGCTTGAGGCGCGCGGGCTGCGGGCGGTGTACAGCGGTACTGGGTAGACGTGTACTCTGGGACCGTGGGAGCACTGGGGCGCTGCAGCAGTAGGCGTCGACTCGAGGATGATAGCAGCGTCACCGGCAGGCGAGATAGGCAGGCGCCGTGTAGCTCACTGACTTGACTGTCGCTGGAATTCACTGCGGGCCTTGCTATGTATCAATCCCTCTCAACGCGATTGCATTGCACCATCCCTCGACCTAGCAGCGCCGCCTCCAGTCCCTTAGGCTCCTCCGGTTTTCACCGCCACTGTCATCTGTCTCGGCGAGCAGCATGACCAGGTCAACCAAAACCACACTTCGCGCGGCCATGCATTTGTGTGCGCCAAGCAGGTGCAACGCGCTGACGTAGTGGTCCACTGCCTCTGCTTCTGCCGACATGCCACTGGGCCGGCATCGCCCAAACCGGCCGGGAAGAGATACAGTCCCTGGCTAAGATCTCGGAACGCGACCCAACCACTGCCAATCACCGCCTCCACACGCCCGTCGCCGGTGGAGCACGAATACCCTCACATCAATGCTCAAGCCAGCGCCTGCATCAAGCTCCAAGCCTGTCGTTTGAAGAAAAGCCTCAACGATCCACCCGTGATGCCACTGCGACGTTAGCGACATATGGCCCGATAGCACTGCGATAGCGCCCGCCGCCCTGGATACACTGTCGCTATCGAGCAACACCGGTACCGTGACTGGATGCATGTGAAGGCTGCGGCTGACTCGAGCAAACACAGCCCAGCATGTCCATAGGAAGAACTCTATATCCTTTGTTGCTGGTTGCACCTAGATCTGTTAGTAAGCTGTACGTCTGCTCCTTTTGGAAGATATGACGCGGATAAGATAAAAATGGGGAACGTCGGGGCGCGATTTGGTAGAGACACACATCACTCCTCGCAAACTCGCGTTACCCAGTAAGCCTCGTGCATCATGGCTGTATCTTGGGTGACTGCCGTGGTTACACAGTGAACGCTCGATGATGCCAGATACCTAGGCAAAGGGTCTTCGGCCAAACAGCCGGCCCGTGCCCCGGCCTCTCTGCATTTCTTACTTAGCAGGGCTGCAACCGCGCGCAGTACCGAAGCTCAAAGCCAACACCACACGCTGCCGCGCATCCACCCACCATGTCTGACCGCGAATTCGGCGGCAACGACGACTTGTCGCTGCCCAAAGGTCGGCATTTCTAGACTCGCATCCCCCGTAAATGCTAATACGCGCCAGCGACCGTCCAAAAGATTGTCCAAGACATCCTGGCCAGCGAGCCTGGCATGACCTTTGCAAAGGATTCGCGCGACCTTCTTATCGAGTGCTGCGTTGAGTTCATTACCCTCATCTCCTCCGAAGCCAACGAGATCGCCGAAAAGGACGCGAAAAAGACAATAGCCTGCGAACATGTCAAGGCTGCCCTGGAAGAGCTAGATTTTGGCGACTACGTCCCAGCCATTCTCGAGGTCGCGCAAGACTACAAGAAGCAGCAGCAGGTATGTCTGCGACGGCGCATGTGACGCGACCACCAGCTAACGCGGGGCAGAATCGCGAAAAGAAGCAGACCAAGATCGAGCAGAGCGGCATGACCGAGGAGCAGCTCATCGCTGCGCAAGAAGAGCTTTTCAAGAACGCAACGAGCAAGTTCAACGCGCCACCCGCGCAGTGATGTTTTCTCTCATGGACGACTTGTACGAATAATGGCTCGAGTTGCACGGCGTTACGTGGGCATTGCGAAGGCGCGAGGCAGGCGTTTGGCTTAGATTAGGGACACATCAAAGGCATTCTGGGTGCGGGCAGGCACATATGCACCATGTTTTCAGCATAGATTTAGGCGTTATTCAAAGGCGATGAAAGCCCATGAGGCTGCGACACGATATCGAACGTGTCACCAACGACAACCACTGTAGTCCATTTCCTCACTTCTTTTCTTTGTGAATGCGCGCCGAGAACAAGAAGCGCGCCCGTGTTTCACGGCCAATGACGTCGGGGTTGGGCCCACACCCCGCGTGGCCAGTAGCCGCATCCCACCACAGCGCTGCCCACTACCGCCTATCTCCCGAACCACTACCCATAGCACAACTCCGCAACCTATACCCTCCAAGCTATACACCATGTCGGGTCTCGAGAATGCGCTTTTCAACCTCAAGGTCAGTACTGTGTGTTGACGCTGACTCGTAATACGCTGACCCCCTTAGTTCACGGCCAAGTCGCTGAACAGGCAGGCGCTCAAAGCTGGCAAGGAGGAGCAGGCTGAGAAGACCAAGCTGGAAAAGGTTGGTGACATGTTCCTTCAGCGCAAGATCGCGTATTGACTCCATCCCAGGCTATGAAGCAGGGCCACAACGACATCGCTCGCATATACGCCGGAAACGCCATCCGCAAGCAGAATGAGAAGCTCAACCTATTACAACTCGCCTCGCGCGTCGATGCCGTCGCAGGCCGCGTACAAACCGCCGTCACGATGCGACAGATTACAGGCAACATGATGAAGGTCAACCGCAGTCTAGACGTGGCTATGAAGTCTATGAGTCCTGAGAGGGTATGCGACATCCACAGCTATTGGGACCAGGACAGCGCTGACAACACCTAGATTGCCTCCGTCATGGTCGATTTCGAAAAGCAGTTCGAGAACGTAGACTCCGCCACCGAACTTTACCAGGATATCACCTCCTCTGCCACCGCAGTCGGCACACCACAAGAGGACGTAGACCGTCTGATGGCGCAGGCGGCAGACAAGGCAGGCGTGGATCTACAACAAGATCTCCAAGAAGCAACACCGGCAAAGACGAAGGTTGGGCCCACTGAGCAAGAAGAAGAGGCATTTACCGAGAGGCTGCGTGCTCTGAGGAATTGAGATACAAGCAACAGTCCCTTGCGGGATTCCTAGGGTGTATTGGAGTTTAGGCGCATCACATGCAAGCGAATTGTTGAGAAGACTAAGATAGCTTTCGAGGCGAATACTATGTTCATGACTACCACACTAGTCAAGGGTCAGACCGACCTTCGCATGCGCATCACCTGGTCGCTCTGTTACAGCTATCTCACACCGCCTCCACTCCTCACCCCATCTCCGCATTCCCAGTACACATCACCGGTCGCTAGTTGACGCCATCAACTAGATACTTACGACATCGGTATTCTTCGGAAACTGGCTTCGGCTAAGTTGCTCGTCTCGCAGCCGCGATAGCCTACCGACCCGGGAGACAGAAACAGCATGAGTCGTGAGTTGCTTGTTGAGTAGGCATGCCCTGGTTGCAAAAACGAAGTTATCATGACTTGTCCGATAAGTTTTGACAAATGAATTCTGCCCTTCAGTTATCAGTTCCTCAAGAACTTTCCGTCATCACGTACTCAGACTGTGCACCTAGCGAGAGAGCAAGTGTTGTGTCCCAACCCACCATACCCCGGATCGTCAGTCGTGGCCAGGTCCCCACGCTGGACCCTGCATTTAATTCCTCATGCCATGCAGCAAACACCCACATGTCTCAGCCGATGCTACCCATCGTGAACATGGCTATGAGCGACGAACGATGCAGGGCCTGATGACATGCACCAATCAATGCGCGTGATACCCGTTCGGCGGCTCTTGCTCCGACGTCGGTGTTTGTTCGCCGGCGAACTTTCAGGTAAACTCCGATATCTTCGTCAGCGGCTTGTATCAAATCCCTCAACAACAGCCTGTTCTGTGTTGACACTTACGACACATCTGTTGCCCTGGTCCAAACAGCGGGCAAACTGTCGAAAAAGTCGTACAGCGTGAAGCGCCCGCGAGAAACGCACCGTCAAAACTTCAAGCATTCCATGCAGCACACAAAGAGAGAGTTTATCAGTCACCGGAGGAAGCTGCAATGGGGGAAGAACAAGCCAGCGGTATGAAACCGCACACAGCCACAGAGCACAGAGATACGACCACCGTACCCAAAGTCGCAACACCCTCAATCGCGATTCCCAAACCCAACCTGCCGCTCCCCACGATGCGCAAACCCACCTCGAGCGAAACATCCCACGAATGGAACACGTCCAAACTCGGTCTACGCATCGGCGTCGACGCCCTCTCCGCCGGCTCCGCAGGCATACTCGTCGCACCCATCATAACCATGATCGACAAAGGCATCATCGAAAATGCCAGCGGGCGTAACAGTCTCGGCGAGAGTCTGAAAAAGAGCGCAATCGAACTCCTCGCGAAACCGCACCGCTTCCTCGGCAGCAAACCCTTCGTCCTGATTTTCAGTCTATACTTCGGTACATACTTTACCGCCAACAGCATCGACACGGCGTCCGCGACGGTTAAGCCCACGCAAGGTTTACAAGAGCAAACGAGCGGTACAAGCAAGTTCCTCGCTACAAGCACAACAAATTTGGCACTGTGTCTGTATAAAGACAATCAGTTCACCCGGCTCTTCGCTGCGCCGGGGTCGTCGCCACGACCTGTTCCTCTGCCTACATTCGCGCTCTTCACCGTCCGCGACTGCCTTACTATTTTCGCTTCGTTCAACTTGCCACCGCTGCTTGCGCCCAAGGTAGACGAGCGCATGGGCACGGAGGTCAAGAAATATGTTGGTGCGCTGAGTGTTGCGCAGTTTGTTACGCCTGCTGCTGTGCAGCTTGTGAGCACGCCGTTGCATTTGCTCGGTCTGGATTTGTACAATAGGCCTGAGGCTAGGGTTGGTGGTGTGGATGGCAGGGCAGGAAGGGTGCTGAGGGATTGGGCGAAGAGTGCTGCGGCGAGGATTTGTAGGATTGTGCCGGCGTTTGGAGTGGGAGGGGTGGTTAACACTAAGGTTAGGAAGAATATGATGGGTAGGCTCGAGGGGTAGGGAGGATCAGGGTGCTGCACGAAGAGTTGGAAACAAATCGTCTTGAGCATTATGTGGCGTTAGGAATCGGTACGGAAAACTCTCATCTCATCTTACAGCAACAGCATGGCATGGCGTTAGGTGCGTTTTAACGACGAATGAACGCAGGCAACAATGAAGCACTTTATGAAGTTCCAACCTTTGCGCGCTTCTCGCGTCCCATCCGTCCCTCATCTCTTACCTTTCTCGTCATCCATCGCTTTGGCCGAAGCAAACCATTTATGCTGCACTAAACACTGCATCTCCATCTCCATCTTCCATGCTTGCACCCCGCCATATCTCACGGAATAAGATCGCATTAGTCCATGACTCCTGTTCCCCGTGACATCATCGTCGATCCAAAAGCTCAGATCACAGATCTCGACCGTTAGGCCCACAGGCCTATTCATGGCATATCCGACTGCATGGTGCATGTCAAATCTCGGTTCGCACATCTTGCGTGCCCCGCACGGATGGTTTTTGTGAAACCGAACCACGCGATCGTTCATGGGAATTTAACCGTTGGGTTTCCCAATACTTGGCGGTGGCTGGTGCTAGTCCAACATTGAATCCGTTTTGGTTCATGTGTGCAGAGTGAAATGAAAGAGGCGTGCGTGCATGGGAAAAGCAAAGACGTGATCGGGACAGATTGATGTGGGAGAGTCACTAGACAAGCATGCATGCAGAGCACAACAACAACACGAGAGTTCAGACATTACATATTCCATTCGCAAAACGATCCGAATAACTGTGCTAGTGGGTATCAAAAGACCTACGCCTTCTCATTCCCAATACTCGCGCTCCCACCCCCTCTCGCCTCAGCCAAAAGTTGCGTGCCAACGACCTCGCCATTACTCTTGCTCTTGAACACGCCAGAAATAGAGTAGAGACCCATAAAAGGCTCGTACACGTACTCCTCCTCCCAGACCTCCTCGCCCTTATAGGTCACGCTCTCGTTGAACCCGTTGAACCTCATGCTCTTGAGGTAATCACCCACAACATTAGTTGAGGAGATCGTACCGGAGTTATCGAGGATCTGCTCTACGATATCACCGTTTTGAGCGAGAACACGGCGTTTGTTGGTGTTGCCTTCGAAGTTGTTGATGGAGTAGAGGATGTTGTTGCGGAGATCCCATTGGTGGAAGTCGAGGTCGCGTTTCGCTTTGGCTTGAGCAGAGGTATCATTGCCTCCTCCAGTAAGTCCGCCAGCGACGTCGCCAACGAGACCAGCAGTGTCGTTGATGATGGAGCCAAGACCGTTTCCTAGCTCGGCGATAACGGGGTTGAGATCGATGCTGTCGAGGACGTCGCTGACCATGTTGACGAGGTTACCCAGACGGGCTTCGAGGTAGACTTTTGCGGTGACGTTTTGGATTAGGAGGGTGACTTTGTCGATGGATAGGTCGACTCCGGCGTTGAACTGCAGCAACTGGAGGACTTGGGCGTCGAGGTTGATCTTTGCGGTGAGGTTGTCGACGCCGATGAAGATTTCGCCGACGTGGACGGAGGCGTTGAGGAGAACGTCTGGGACGGGGCTCAAGGCAGAGATGTTGGACGATGATGTGTTTTCTGTTTCGTAGAGGACGGCAGATGGGTCGCCGTCATCTCGTACGTCCAACTTGTAGCCACTGTAGCCATCGGATGCAGATTGGCAGACAGCGAGGAAAGGCAACGAAAGGAGTGTGATGGTAGGTAGTATCGACAACATCTTGACTGGTACTGAAAGAGAGACTGGCCGAAAGCTGACGTGCTGCTAAACAAAGAGCGAAGGACAGGAAGCAACAACTCAATGGATGTCGTCAATCGACAAGAAAGACGGGCGGGCGCAACGGTTAACACTACCATCGGGTGGAGTAGTAGTGAGTTGCTTACAAGGATCATGTGCATAGCACCATCTTCCATTACCCGTCATCCACCTACGCTAGCAAGAAAAACGGAAATTAAGGAGATCCATGCCCACACCTGCGATTCGATAGAAAATCCAGAAAACCGGCAGTTCGTATGCGGAATCAGGATTTCTACATGTTCATGCCTTAGCACTGCTCCAGATGGTGCGATCCAGCCTTGTAGGAACCCCTGCGCGGCTGCATAGGGGGCTTTACCCGAGATTACCATTATGGGAATCCTTGCAATACTCCATGTGCATGATTGCCGTGCCCGCTGATTTGCAACGGGATTCCTTCGCTATAACCGGTACGTGGGTCGTGGTTTGCTGATACTTGTACGGCTGTCTCGCTCGTTACTATTGCCGTTGTTGTTGCTGTCGTCGCCGCTCACGCCAACATGTCGTTCTCTATCCGCCTACTGCTCATCAGCATTTTCCTTACTTTCGCTACACTCATTTCTGCGCAATCGGAATCTGGAGCTCCTTCGACCCCGGCACCTACAAGCAGCGCCCCGCCGCAAGGCAACGGAACTACCACCAGACCACCAGAGGTTGCGCCTACTGGATCTTCGCCCCCGGATGTGCTTCTCCGCGTCCCTGAACTGCACGTTGGAAGGATTGAACTAGGTGTCGAGAAGCTTCAGGCAGATCTCAACCTTAACGCCAAGGTCGCTGGTCTTGTCCAGATCAATGCTGGTGTCCAGGTCGCCGTGGAGAAGGTCAACATCACTATTGCTGATGTAGATGTTGAACTCGAGTTGATTGTACGATTGGGCAACCTGGTCTCTATCGTTGAGCGTGTCTTTGACTCTTTGGACCTGAACCCTCTCTTGATCGGTTTGATCGGAAACGTCACCAACTTGGTCGGAGAAGTGATCGGTGCAGTTGATGGACTTGTAAGCATCCGAATGGATTAATATCAGAAAATGACTAACAGCATATAGCTTGGATCGATTACGCAAAACGGGAAGACGCTCAACTTCTTGGTCGACAACCTCGGTAACATCGTCCAAGAGGTCGTAGGAAGCGGCGGAGACGCCCTCCAGCAGATTGTCGGAAACTTCAAGGTAGGCATACTCCTATACCATACCAAGTTGCATCCACTGACCCGAGATACAGCTCAACATGACCGAAGTCGCTGGAAGCGCAAAGCAGGTTGGCCAGGGAATGACACAGAAGACCTTCAACTACGAGCCTCTCAACGCGCTCGTCGACATCGTGACCAACACCGCTGGTCAAGTCGTATCCGCGGTCGTCCAGAAGAAGAATGGTGGTGGTGGTGGCAGTGGCGGCGGCTCATCGTCAACAGCTTCGGCTTCCGGTACTCCCATGCCGGTTAGCCTGCCTGTCGCCTCAGCTACTAGCTCTGCGTAGGCGTATATAGCGTCGCGATAATGGCATAATCTAATGCATTCTGAATCTCGTTCATACTGGGTCTGTGGTGTGATGTGTGGTTATGCAGAGTGATTGATGAAGTTGAGATGTGCGAGCGACGAGATGCCTCGGCAGGTGGGAGAGATGACGTGGGGCGCTATGACCAGGCACGCGAGCCCCGAAGCTCAAAGGCTGCCCTCCTTTGACCGACACTGCCGCGCTATGCCATACGCTGGGCAACATGTTGGTTCATTGGAGGTAAGAGATGCTGTGAAGACTACTGATTTATTAAGGGAAATACGCTACAACAGAGTTTCCATTTGCGGTCCTCTCTTCCAGCCTCTTAATTACTGTCAGACTCATCCTCATCCTCGCTCTCGCTCTCGCTCGCTGAAGAGCTCGATTCACTTTGCTTCTTCGACTTGGACTGCTTCTCTTTCTTCTTCTTTTTCCTCTTCTCTTTTGGCTCCTTCTGCTGCTTTCTCAATCCATCTCTCCATGCTACGAAGTCAGCATCACCCATTGTGTCGGACATGTAAACACCGAACTCTTTAGCGGTGTTGACACTCTTTCCAAACTCTGCTCTACCCACGCTTATCTCCACATCCGCGTCTAATCACACGATACCATGCAGACTTGATGTACTTGCCTGATTCACGTGCGCACACGTGGTCAAAACGATATTGATTCCTTACTTTGACTCCTGCAATGAACAGGATGCGAGCTAGAAGCTGATGCATACATCGTCTTCCCCGCCCCGAGTCTCCTTGTAATCGTTATCTTCTTCCAAATCCGCATCCAGCTCTTCTTTGGTGCCCTCCACCACAACAGGTAGCTCCTCTTCATCCGCCCTCCCAGAACCCGTCATGAACGCACTCTTGCTCTGGAACAGCTCCATCTCAGTACCTGCTCGCTTGTATCGGACTATGTGTACTCTGTACGCATACACGATTTCTGGTGCTGTCTCATATGAGTCTGTCACTGTCGTCTCTCGAGCGTGTGCCACACCCGCTCCCAGCTCCAGGGGTACAGGGCCAGGGACGGGAGGACCAGATCCGGACAACCCTCCATTATAGTGTGTGCCTCTTTCTTTTTTCACCGTGAATGACGTTCTCGCAATCCTAACCCCCGAGACTACGTAAACGGGGCGCTTACCAAAAAGCCCGCTGGCCATCTGTTGTTGTACGACTGGGAGTGCCGCAATCTTCAGCGCAGTCTCCGTGGTTAGAGGGTCTGCAAAGGTACGTATTTCGTGATCAACGGTGCTGTGGCTGAGAGATTCTTTCCTTCCAATGCCGATATCTATTGAAGCGGAGGCCATGGCGAGGAACTGCGACCAGATGGCGAAACTATTGGATCGGGCGTACGAATGGTCATGGGAGTGATTAGGCTCGACGAGTGTGCTTATTCTTGGGAGCTTTATGTCCAAATTTGATGAGCCCAGGGCAGTGAGCACAAGTGTGGGCTTCTTGGGGTGTGTGATGACAGTGCCGAGCTGAAGTGGACCGTCAGCTGCAAAGGTGAAGTCTGGGGGAAGGAACCAGGTCGGCATCGTCAGATATCTCTAGAGTATTGGGCTCGTCTGGTTGCTCAGGTAGGAATCACGGTTTTCGTAAGGTGTCCTTTTGGCGACTATAGATGTGGGACAATGAAGGTAAGGTCACGCATTCACATTCTCTTAAAGTCTTGATTCCCGCCGTAAATTATACTCATGTTACACGGAGTGCTGATCTCCGGCAAGGCTGAAGAGACACGTCACTGATGATGACGACACTGCTGACCGGAATTAAGCCTGTTTAGTCGCTTTGCATAACGGGGCTTTGCCCAATAATATCACCTGCATTGTTCCAAGGAGTTTTGTTCCCATGTTCTATCGAAGACACTATTGCTGCGTTACTCAATTCATATCAAGAAGATGAGTATCAAAATATGTCCCTACCGCCCTAACAGCATATCGACTCACTGTGTACGATGAGACCTCCAGCTTCCCGATCTTGTCAAACATGAAGACATTTACCTCATCACCTCGTTCTGCGGCAATGCCCTACATATTGCGCGAAACATATCTGAGTTTTCCAAATTGTAAGACCAAAATGAAATTGCGTTGACAAAGTACTGTCGATCGTTCCACGATTTCGCCATGGCAAACAGCATATGCCTCATACCATCGGTGGTTTTCAGTTCGCTGTACAAGCTCTCGACACCAATGCCACGCAAAACATGTGGCAGTATCGCGGCATAAGCTAGCACAAGACCTGCAATACCCGCTGCCACTGCTGTCGCAATCGAAGTACCAGCATTGAAATCCCCTTTCGGAAATCGCACACGCAGCTCTGCCAGGACAGCTTCTGGTACATTATCACCGTATGTACCCAGAACGCGAAGCGACTCTCTTGAAGAAAGAGGGTTGGTGTTGAGAAAGGCACCGTTGCTTTCTGTAGCGTATATAGATATGACTGAGGGATCGCAAGCCGGATAGGCTTCAGCACGGTTCACGTCGTTTCCTGCGCTGGCGAGGAAGACAATGGCGCCTTTCCGGATCTTTCTCACGTTAGCGATAGCATCACTGATGAGTTGGCTGAACTTCGGAAAGCCGAAAGACATGGAAATGACGTCGACTTCCCAATCATTGCCAGCGTGGTTTATAGCCTGTGATGTCTGTTCAGCAAAGGTCGAGTGTGTTCGAGTTGTATAGATATCACTTACTTCAGCAATAAGCTTTTCATTGCCTTCCAATTGATGCGTCGTCTTAGCAATGCGTGCAATGTAGAGCTCGCAGCCTGGTACAATTTGCATCACAAGGCGCGCCATGAGAGTCCCATGTCCAAATTCATCCACCTCAGTTTGGGACGGCGGCTCTACAGCAAAGTCGCGCCATCCTTTGAAGCACTGTGCTGCCCTAAAACAATTCAAACTCGTGTCGCAGCCTGTATCGAGGATGGCGATACGTAGTGGGGGTAATTTGGTTCCCATTCTCCTACGACGAAACACCAGGCTCGAGATGGCCCGGATGTCTTCGAACCACCTTTCAGCATCTTCTTTGACGTGCGCACCACTGTTGAAGGTTGGATTTTGCAGTTGTTTTGAGAGCCTCTTGAGCTCGGCTCGGTCCGCTTCTTCTGGAGCGAAGGTTGGGCGGTGATCCTTGCCATGCTGCTGCTTACTGGGCTCTATGAACACGTCATTGTTCCCGTTATCGTAACCGACCGTGGCCAGCCAATAAAGAGGCGACACAACATGCTTGTAGATAGCTTCTCGGCGATCCTTCAAGGCTAACGCATGGTACTTTTCCCGCTTTCCATCCTCAATGGCTTTCAGATGCGGCGAGAGGTTTTTGTAACGATCTGGGCTCAGTCGGCTTCGCTTTTCCCGGGTTTTGGAGCTTTCGATGAACTTGTTGGGGTTCATACAGTTTGAAATTGCATCGTCGAAAGCGAATTTGTTTCTGCATGTGTCCCAGATTTCGTTTTTGAGCTCTTCACGTTGGCAGCCCGCATCGCTATGCGCATCGTTCACACTGTTGCGCACATCCTCGAGGTTGTTACTAGCGGTGAATGGCAACAGTCCTAAGTTCTTGCCAAGTCCAATCTCAAGCAGGATGATCCCCAGGCATAGAATCCGCGGATAAGTATGCGTCACTTCATCCACATCGAGGAACTCGTTTGGCCCTGGAAAGTTCTCCCCCGAAGGAAACCCTACAAAGGCTTTGAGCTCTAGTGCATCGGTGTGCTTCCGATTTGCCTTCTCCCGTGGCATGAACCAGATGTTGTCACTACACCACTGTGTTGTTGTTAACTCGCTCCCGTAGAATTCCCAGAAGCTTCGCGCGACGGCAAAGGAGAGCATGATCTTTACTTTGGGAGTAAGGCTGTACTGATCCGAGTTCAATAGGTCTGCGAGGGATTTCCCTTCGCCGTGCGGCTTACGATAGGGCATCATTTCTGCCCGCTTTTCCCGGTGAAGGCAGAAGTTTTGGTCCAATTTGAAGAAGACCTTGGGGCTTGTGCGTGAGTTGCGCACACGCTCAAGAAGTTGGCACACATCGCCTGGTTTCACAATATCAACTTGGCAGTCAGGGTCCTCTTCTTGTCCGGCTGTAGGCGTGCTGTCAGATGGTGTTTCGGATCTCTCGTCATTTTTTCTACGGAAGTGATTAGCTCAAACTCATAGTCTTTTGAGGCATGGAGTAGAATGGCTCACAATGAAACACTCAGCGAGAAGTCCCGCCAGAATTCGAAGTCCATAGACGCCATAACAAGGTCAAACGTAACTACCTGGTTTACATTTCGTCCCTCAGTACTGAGACACAATCTGGTAGGATGGCGAGGACTCGTGCTCATTGGCTTATGTACTGAGCGCAGACACATGGCATGCGACTTCAGTACCGCGATCAAATTTTCGCGTATGTTGTCCGGGTATACATATCCATTTTGTGGTTTGGAATGCTTCCTGTACGGGCTGGCTTCATCTGCACGACCGAGCTTTCGATTTTCCGGATCTATCAGAACGAGAAGTTCTTCGAAGCGATCAGCATAGAATTTTGTTTGGGTAAGTTCAGCGCTCAGGAATTTTTTGATACCGATGCGCAACTTGGACTGCGCTGACAGAACCTGGAGTTCTTTGTAGATAGCGGCAGAACTAAAGTACGACAGGCGATTACCAGACCGTTCATTGTTTATCGGCCACTGTATTTCTCAAGGTCAGTGACTAGGCCGATTCGATTTATAGCAAGCGGAGGGGTCGTCCTTCTTACCTTGCATATTCGCAGGCAATCCTGCAGAGCGCGACAGGAAAGATCCTGGGCTTTAACGGGGAGCTGGAATGCTTGCACCAACTCCAGTTTCGCCGCAATGAGGTATAGTGTGGTGCCAATCTTGCCACCTAAAATCGATGGCGGCTTCATTGACGTGGTACAACTCATAATCTCGATACAAGCCAGCGATGCAGCTTCGAAAAGCAGATCCGAACTGTAACTCTTCGAATCATCAATACACGCACCCATCATGATCGAGCTTCCAGGATATCGAATTGGTCAGAGATGCTCTTGTAGATGACAAGAGAAGTAGAGTGATAAGATAGGAGGAACCTCAAACAATGGGGTTTTGATTATAACGCATCGATGAGTGGACGAGATGGGAGAAGGCTGAGTGGTTTGGCGCCCAAGGTTGTTTAAGCTCACCAGTCCACGTGCCAGCAAAGAGGGGCTCTGGCACCCCGGGGCCTGCTTGGACTTTAGGCGACGGGGTCATGCAACCTTGGAAAGCTGACGCTGCGGGGTTGCATGTCTCTACCAACGATCGTGCCAAACCTATGACAGTCAATTACTTCTCTTTTGATGCGTCAAATAATTCACGATATTGATTTGAGCCTCTTCAATACGCAAAGAAAGTACCGCATACCACAATGCAGCCGACGCAACAGCAAGAGACGGAGCTTACTAATGCATTGGCCGCGGACACGACCCGCGCTTGCTTCAAGTCTTTTCAGTTATGTATTGAAGCACTCAGTGGTGAGGACAAGAACTACCTCGAGGCACGCTTTGCGGACCTGAAACTCTGGGCTGATAGCGTGGGCGCCCTGGCTCATGGAAAGGCGTCGCTAGACTGGCGACTCAGCGGGCGGCAACGAGATATAGTCCTCGTCACCAGCCTACTAGGTATGCTTGGCCAATTCTTGGAGAACTACAAGACGGCGGTCTTCGAGTTCGGCAACGAAGAAAAATTGCATGAGGCCAAAGCTGGGATCGACGAGATGACAGATAATCTGGCGTGGATTGGCTCTACCATTCGCCGGTCTGGTACTAAATCACGGCTTCAGAAAGCAGATAACTCCTTCGAGCATGACAGAGCCGGAAAAGATAAATGGCACTGCGATCAGTTGCGAGCACATCTGATCTGCATGATGAAAGCCAGACCCTCTGAGACTGCCAGTTCCGCAGATTACCTCATGGATTACCATAACATGGAGCTCAAAGGAATACAGAATCGGCTAGTCGAAGCCAATCTACGCCGCTGGCACCGATTTCGACACGCTCAATCTCACTCCAATGTACTCAGAACACCGAGAGCCGTTCAAAGCATGCCGATACATGTTATACAAGACGCCAGTGCGCCTGATTCTGCGCCTGACTCTGCGCCTGATTCTGCGACAGATGTAATCAGCACCTCTGAGCCGCGTATCACTATTGCTGCCGCAAGACAGAGAAAAGAGATCAACGACGAAGACGAAACTCGAACAACAGCTGGGCTCTCAGCTTCAGCATTCGGTACTGAATATAAAGGACTCGAAGGCCGATATAATCGACAAGCAAAGTCTACAATGTCCCGAATCAGTACCATCACTGGATCCGCCCGATTTCCGAAAGCCAAGAAGCAATCAATTCATCGGAAGACATTGTTATGTCCTTGTTGCTGCCAGGCCATACCACTGGAAGAAGCCGAGGAGCCGGATCTGTGGGCGTAAGTAGACTGGCCTAATTCCACTTGTCAACTAATCACCCGTGTAGAAAACATATGAAAAACGACATAAGCCCTTATACTTGCATCGTGGAAAACTGTCCAACACCGTATCGATTTTACCTCACTCGAAACGAATGGAGAGAGCATGTTTTGCGCGATCATCCGCCCAAGTGGAGATGCTCCTGTTGCACAGGAACGCGCCCTGTTTTCCATTCGCTGCCGGCATTCATGGCTCATCTGGATGAAAGACACAAGGACGAAATCGCTGATAGGACGTTCCAGCGCGTAATGGCCAAGTCAACAATCCGGACATTCGGAATAACCAACTGCCCGTTGTGCAACGATTCCGGCCCTACTGACTCCCCTGAAATCATCGAGCACGTGCTCGGACATGTTTACGACTTTTCCATGCATGCTTTGCCCTGGCGAACGCTGCCGGTAAACGACTTTGACAAGCCGATTCGGACTTTCAACGACGTCGCTCCAACATGCAACTCAAATGAGAAGAAAGAAGTGGTTGAGATGCGACAGCACAGTCATGCCAGAATGCTTCATTGGGTCTGTGAACCTCATCCAGAAGAAGGGTGGCCCACTCTTGAAAAAAGCGCAAGGATCCGTGACCTTGACTGGGATGACTATCGAGCCGTAGTGGACAAGTTCGAAGCCTCCTCTGTGTCCGCCGACTATTACGATCGCCCAGGCGTCGATTATTTCAATGACGAAAACAGCAGTCATGGGGCGGCATGCCGAACAGATCAATCGATTAGAACTTCACGCTCGTCCATGAAGTCTGGTGCCCTAAGTACGTATTCAGCCCAGGACCAGGATGAACCCTCACTACCTGTTCAAGATACAGATGGGTTGCAACCATTATCCGTTGACTTCATCGAGAACCGCCGCGCTGGTGGCGAGCCGGAGGTCAACTTCGATCCCAGCGCTCAAAGGTCCGTAACTCTCCCGGTGGATTCTGATATAGCGATGCTCGATCACGGAGACGAAGAATTACAGGAGAGCAAACTGCAAGCAAAAGCTACCGAGGAGAGCTTCGCAGCAGCTCTTGTAGCTTTGAAGAGGAAGAAGAAGAACACCAATGACCCGAAGATAGAGGACTTTGACCTCGACGCTTGTCACGACTGGACAGAGATCACTAATGCTATACACGGGGTAGTTGAAAACTACCATAACGATGACACGACATGGGGGCGTATACAAACCGGGTTTCGACGCGTCGGAGACAATGCGAAGTCTCTGCAGTCTTTTGTTGGGCTCTTGCCTGATGGGGCATTCGAAACTCTCTGTGGAGGGCTTGTATTGATCTTGACGGTTAGTGATCTCCACATCATTGTACAGGATGTCAGGAGCTAATAGCCCCGAAAGGCCATGACGCAACATACTCAAGTCCGTGAGAGAATGGCGCAGTTATTGGTAGAAGTGCCCGAAGCCGTCATTCTATGCGAGCAATACCTGGAAATCTATCCCGGACGTAATATCATACAGTTGTTTGTAAATGACATCTACACCAACCTCCTTCTGGCCCTTAAAGAAATCCTCAGATGGTATATTCAGTATGCCTGGAGTGAGTAGACTACTTCCTTTGTTCCGCATAACCTCCTAGATCTGCTGCTGACAGTTTAGGTAATTCCTCATACAGTCTCTTGGGGAACAATCCCTACGGAGAAATGATCAACCAATCCCTCCACAACATTGGCCGGTCTAAGGGTCTCCTCATCGAAGAGTCTCAATTGTATTTGGCGCGGTCGCAACGAGCCACACTTTCTACAGCACCCAAGATCGACGTGCAATCTCGCGAGACCAACTCAACGACTGTCGGCGTGGGTGGAAGATTGGCAGAGTTCCAAGAAGAGTTCGAAGAAACGACGAAGACACATGGCAAAGAGATGGACGCACTGGACGCAATCAAAGAAACGTTGAAGCCATATGGCGAAGGGGTGGGCGGACTAGGCGTACTCAAGAAAACTCTAGATGGGGCAGTGAGAGATGCCAGATGTGGGTCCTCAGCTCTCGCATCCAATTTTCAATTCGCGACGCTAACGTTCGAAGGGAATGACGACGAATTCGAACAGCAACATGACGAAGCCTTGAGACAAGTAGAGCTCAGGGCCGCCAGGGATAGTAAGTCAGAACTCTTCTACTCACGCAGCAAGCTAACTCGCGCTCAGAGCAAAGGACAGCCGAGCTTGCAGAGCCTGTCGCCAGAACAGCGATCACCCCAGAAAATCTCATGAAAGAGTTGAATTTGAAACCAGCCAAGCATACACATACATCAGAAGTCCCCATGGTGCTCAAGCATGCACAGGAAGTATATAGCCCAACAAATTTCCGACGCCACGCTGAGTGGGTGAGCAATACCTTCGAATTCCATGATTGGCTAGGAGGGCGAGATCAATCCCGAATACTTTGTATCCAGGGTCAAAGCGCATTCGAGACGACATCGCCAATGAGCTACCTCATATCGGCTCTCTACTTAACGCTAGAACAGGCGCCGCGCACCCTGGTCCTCCCTTTCTTCTGTGGGAGAAGCAAAGCAAGCTACGGACCCAAGTTCATGCTTCGGGCGCTACTCGCCCAGCTTCTCGATCTTTGCAATACGCATGGGTACACTGGCAAAGGAGGTGTACCCATACTCTCATTTCTTGGACACGAAGAAAGGGCGCAGTTGAAGGAGCAGGACTGCGTGACGTACACAAGAGTGCTCGCGCAACTGCTACAAGAGCTGCGAAAGGAGTATAGCGCAATCTTCATCTTGATCGACGGTCTTGACTTATATGATTCGGGATTCGAGGAAGGCATGGATGATTTCGTTGAGGGTATGAAGCAGCTGGTCAAATTTTGCAACAAGCCAGATGACAAAACGCCTGGTGGTGTTCTCAGGGTGCTCTTGACAACAGCCACATCGTCGAGGTGCTTCGATTCTCCTGCGAAGCCACTGGTCGTAATTGATGTGCCGAATTATATAGAGGGGATGTTGGACGGGTTCCCGAGTGGTAATTAGTTACGCCACCTTGGCAGTCGTGGGCGACGCCAGTGGCGACCCTCATTCTTGCCGTAGGCCTATTCAACTGGTACTGTTTCTTGTCAGATCTCACCAAATGGCAGTCTGACTAAAACACGTCGCACTGACCTTGTTCTTCGTGACTTTGTTGCGTGTGGAGTAACGTTGGGCGTTGCTGTGATAGCGTGACCTTCCAGACCCACAGCCTGGAGTAAAAGGTGCATCCTCACCCTTCTTCCATCTCCACCACTCCGCAGATATGAGGCGACTTATCCCTTCTATTCACATCCAGCCATTCCAGAGTCGTCTCCCAGTCCGCCTCCAAATCGTCTTCATCCAGAGAAAGCGCATATCCTTCTTCGTCCGGTATGCTCTTGTCCTTTTTTAGTAAGACCGTCATCGTTGCTCGATCTGATATGTCCTTGCGCTGCTTCGTAGCCTGTTGCTGGAAGGCCTTGTAGAAAGCTTCACCGTGCGCGTTCAGATCTAGCCATACGTTTAGAGTCGTCGCGTCCCACACGAGACTCAATCTGATCCTATCGGTGGCCTTATTGGGATCGGTATCTCGGGCGGGAGTTGCGGGCGCGGGGCTTGGTCGGAGAGGCTGTGGATGCTCGATGTGCGAGCCCAAAACGGTATGGGCCGGTGAGGGTTGGTGGGTCCCCATCGCCGTTCCGAATGACTGCTGTCGGGCGAGGAAAGGCTCTACCATATGATACGGGTGGTGTTGCCCGTCTTGATGGAAGACGGGGCTTGCGCGGTGGGATTCGCTCTGAGTCATCGCTGAACGATGGTACGATGCTGAAGGTGGTGTCGGCGCATGAGGACGCATTTCCTGCTTGTATTCGTGGAAACTGGGGGATTGTCGAGCCTGCTGAGGGACGATAGTAGGTGTGTATTCTAGCAGAAGCACGTAAATCAGCCAAAGCGCATGGACCGCTGACCGCTATGCTGTATACACACCTGCAATCCCTTCACCCGAATCCTTGTAGCCAAGAAGGATATCTGTGTCAATCGCTCCGTTTGGTACCACATAAAATAAAGTGTTGTGTGTGGAGTCGGAGTGAGGGCGGCGCCAGGTAAGTTCAATGGCACATGAGACTGGTACTAGTTGGTTCTGCCCCGATGGGCGATGTGGCACATCGACATGTGTTACTTCGGCCTGAACCAGGCCGGGGGACTCCTCGAGGTTTCGCTTGCCAACAACGTCATTACGTATTACGCTGTACATGATTGACGCGTCCTTCATCCGGACCATGTGCTCTACCACTTTACCTCCGACAATAGTTGGAAGCAATACATACTCCACCGAGCTGCTTCCATCCCTAGTAGAGTGTGATGCCACCGATGATGCTGTCCCAGGAGGGCTCAGTGGATAAGTCGTCGATGAGAGGCGGCGGGGCAGCCGTTGGCGCGGAGGCGGGGTCCCAGTGTTATGTGAACTATGTGAAGTTGGCGAAAGAGGTGGTGCGAATGTGATATCGAATCTGTTGGCGGGAGGTGTTGGTGTCTCGTATTGCCTCGCGTTTAGTTGTAAAACGTAGGAAGTTACTTCATCGAGGATCTTGTTGTCGTCGCAACACCTGGTGAGGATGTCTATGGCCTTCCCTGGGCTATTGTCGACCAGCTTGGTGACTAATCGTTGTGTGCCATAGTGGTTCATGATGCGCAGTCGAAGCAATCGGCCGCATGTGGGTGGGGCTTACTGTTGTCGCACGAACGGGGTTTGGACGGCTGCGGAGAGCAGCGCTAGCCGAGGCGCACTCGATCAATGTCGCTCATTGTGGCCGCAGCGTGAGGAGGTAAGGAAGAGATGACCGTACGAAGCGCATTGCGCGTGATACGAATCTAGCGGCAAGGCAGACGATGATGGGGGCGCAGGCCAAAGACTCGCGCATGAACCCAGAAGCGCTTATTGATCCATCGATATCAGGGCAATCTCTCGCTTCAGTATGCGCTTTGCCGCTCTGAGTTGACCGGATCTGCAAGTTTGAACAGGGCTGCGAAACACCACCCAGCAAACCTGGAGCAGTTGTATGCAGTCCGCAGCACACCGGTCACGGCGTTTTCGTACCCCGCCCGGCTGACAAGATGCTCGTTCCAATCACACTTTCACGGCCTTCCTCCGTCCCGATTGCTGAGGCCTGCGCGTAGGATCAGTCCCATAGGAAGGATCGTCCCAGCTAATGTTTTCCAGAGAGCGTATCGAACATGTTGTCGACGTCTACGTCCAGCCGTGTTCTGGAGGACAAACAAATCATGGCGACAACGACATCTATTAGTCGAAATGTCTCCAGCGGCAATGCTGTTCAGATAAATGGACATGTGGCCGAAAATATCTACAATCTTAACATGTAAGTTCGACTCCAACACCTTGCGCCCAGCATGCCTCTGACATTGACAAGTGGGAACTTGTTCGTCATGTCCACCGGAGCCAGATCAGCACAACCGAGCAGACGCAGAGAGAAGACGTTCGATGTGCAACAAGTACTGGAAGCTCCGTCTTCATCCAGAGTGTCCGCGAAGTTCTCTGCACAAATTCCAGTAAGCAAAGAACGTCGCGCGACTTGGTGCAGGGTGGCGGCTGACAACGAGCAGAAGAGCGCTTCTGACCCATCAGTCCTGCAAGGACAAAATCTGATGCTCGAATCCTGCACGAGCGACAGCCGACACTTTGTTCGCGCCATATTCCGGCCAACCATGGCCAACAACTTCATCGCGCACAAGATTGTACGCCGACTTGGCCTTACAGTGTACAAAACCTCAACGTCCACAGTAGAGACTGCCTCGAGTCGCATCCACCTGCCGTCCACACACGAATATGTCGAGCTCGCTTGTCACTCGCAGGAAGGGAAAGACGCCTTTGTCGTGTATCGATTCTTCGTTGTCAAGCAAGGCCGGTTTGATCTCCTCTTCGGTACTGGCTCGGTCCTGCGCTGAACGGACATGGGAAGAAACAAAACCGGCAATTCGATCTGCGCGCAACCCACACCCTTCTGCCGTCTCGAACCCTGGCAGGACGTGGCATCGTGTGCGAGTACTGTCAGCCTGTGACCACACCCCGCAAAAAGATCGTCGACCCCATTGGACGCCGATACAGCGCGAACATGAGTTGCTTTTGGGGTGCATCTATGGCTGCAGGTCGCTTCGCGATGGCGAATCACTGGCTGCGATCTCGCATGCATGCATGATGCGAACTTCACCGGACCAACCGCAATCACGGTCGACTCATAACTGACACTGCGCCCCAAAGGTGGTCCGGATAAGTTCAGCTGAAGATAAGTGCGGTATTGCGCCCTTTGATCTGTCAGCGCAAGCCGTGATAATCTCTTCTTCTGCAACAGCGCAATCTTTCCACTAAAGACCATGGTAAGTACACTGCTCCTTCAGGAAGGCCCAGCTGAAGTGTCGTAACAGGCTGAAGTACTGGCTGTTTTCGCCGCGATCCAAGCTACCACACAACTTGTGGAGCAAGCCTTCCGAATCTTCGATCGCCTACGCAGGGCAAACGCTCGTCAGAAAGCTCTTGCTGAAGTCTTGGCTCGACACCGTAGCGAGCTCGAGAGTATCAAGACGATCATCGGTATAATAGACGATGAAGAGGACCTGCAAATCCCTACTGTTGCTACCGAGCTCGTCCGACTTCAAGCTGTGCAGAACAAGTTGGCCGAATTGCTTGAGACGCTCGACCCCAAGACGACAAGCAAGGTCAACCAATTAGCGCGTCAGCTGGTCCATGGCTCAGCGGATGAGAAGAAGCTTGGTTCCATCATGGATGAGCTGGTCCAAGTCAAGACCCTGCTTATTTTGCGCATCCAGGTCGCCCACATCGGAGTAATACGTACTATTGGAAAGGAGGCCGTAGTCAATGCGGAAGTTATAAAGCGAATAGACGCTTTCTTGAGGGAGCATATTCCCAACTGCGAGGGGTTGCGAATTGCACGATTGTTGAAGGGCCGAAGTCCATCAAGTAAGTTCTGCGCCGCCGTAACCTGTCCACTTCAACTGACAGTCGTAGATGATGGCACGATGCCATTGACTCTTGCAGATCTCAGAGCTCTTGACAAGGAGATCAATGGCGATGGCGAAGATAGCGGAGACGAGACGCTCGTTGATGATTCCGAAATATCACCTCGCGAGTTGCCGGTCAAGACCGAGCGCATCATCACGCGAAACACAGCGCGGAACCAGGCTCTGCAAGTGAATGCTGCTCTCGAACAGGATATGTGGAAAGACATAAGTCGTCTCAAGATCCAGGACAACGTAGCTGAAGACCAGAGTTGCCAGGTCAACTACCCTATATCGCGGGACATATTCTCGATGATGCTCGACCGGCAAAGTAAGATCGCAGTACCATCGCGACAGAGACCAGTAAGCACGCGTTAAGGAAGACGTAAGGCGTTAGGACGGATGTAGATTTGGAGTTGGTGGCCGTGTGGCCTTCGGCGATGCCAGAAGCGGACCATGCTGATAATCGTGTGTTTTCTTACGAGAATCTGGCGACTGTGCGATAATGCAGGAAATGCAAATGTGAATAATCAATGTATGATTGAGAGCCGGTGAAAAACGTTGCTGTGGTAAGACCTGTCGGCGCGTGTGCTCCTTCCTCCAACGCGTATGCGCTAGTGGCCCGGCGTAACCTTAATCCGACAATGGCCAGCTTCGGAAGCTTCCACGCCTTCACGGGCGTCAACACCAAGGTGCAACAGTCGCCATCGCTATCTCACCCACAACCTTTACTCCACCGTCTTCGCCGTCGCTCACTACACGAGCTCCTTGCATTCAACACTACCCCAAACAACACCCTAGCCTAAACATCGCCGCCGGCGCCCGCCACAGCCATGGCGCTCGATACCTTCTTCCACAACAAGATCGAGACGATGAAGCTCGAGATCATACAGGGACAGGCTAAGCTACGACGACTTGAAGCCCAGCGCAATGACTACAACTCAAGAGTACGGTTATTGCGAGAGGAGCTCGGCCTTCTACAGCAACCGGGATCCTACGTTGGAGAGGTAGTAAAGGTCATGGGTACCAAGAAGGTGCTCGTAAAGGTTCACCCCGAGGGAAAATACGGTATGTATGGGTTTAATCACAGACGGATTCAAGACTGATCAGGGCAGTCGTCGATGTTGCGGACAGCGTCGACATCAGCAAACTCACCGCCGGAAAGCGCGTCACTCTCCTCAGCGACTCCTACAAGCTCGAGAAGCTCCTTCCCTCGTCCGTCGATCCCCTCGTCTCCCTCATGATGGTCGAGAAGGTGCCCGACAGCACATATGACATGATTGGTGGTCTGGATCAGCAGATCAAGGAGATCAAGGAAGTCATCGAGCTGGGTCTGCAACATCCCGAACTCTTCGAATCGCTCGGTATCGCTCAACCCAAGGGTGTTCTGCTATACGGTCCTCCTGGAACAGGAAAGACACTGCTTGCGCGTGCGGTCGCACATCACGCTGACTGCAAGTTCATTCGAGTGTCTGGTAGCGAGCTGGTACAGAAGTACATTGGTGAGGGTAGTCGCATGGTTCGTGAACTCTTCGTCATGGCACGAGAACACGCACCCAGCATTATCTTCATGGACGAGATTGACAGCATTGGATCAAGTCGAGTGGAGGGAAGCTCAGGTGGTGATTCCGAGGTCCAGCGAACCATGTTGGAGTTGCTGAACCAGCTGGACGGTTTCGAGCCAACCAAGAACATCAAGATCATCATGGCGACCAACCGACTGGACATTCTAGATCCCGCCCTCCTACGACCCGGACGTATCGACCGAAAGATCGAGTTCCCACCGCCAACCGTCGAGGCGCGTGCCGACATTCTGCGCATTCACTCTAGGAGCATGAACTTGACGCGTGGTATCAATCTGACAAAGGTCGCGGAGAAGATGAACGGATGTTCAGGTGCTGAGCTGAAGGGTGTGTGCACTGAGGCTGGTATGTACGCCCTCAGGGAGAGGAGAGTGCACGTCACACAGGAGGACTTCGATCTGGCGACTGCGAAGGTGCTGAACAAGCACGACGACAAGGCGACCAGTTTGAGCAAGCTGTGGAAGTAGACCATGGTACGTGGTCTTGCTACTGCGCTTGCCTGCATTATGCATTGCTGGTGTTCACGTCGAGATTATGTACACCAAACATAGACGTGCAGATTCTTGGTACAAACAAATAATGACTACCGACCTTCAACATTCCTAACATGGTTGATGTGGATCTCGCATGGTCAGTTCAGGTGTGACGGCACGTCATACTAGCGCGGAGTAACTCCCGTCAGGACCTAGCCCGCCATCTCCCACACCACCTCGCATGCAATGCAGATCGTAACCATCTTAACATCGCTTATCGCTTACCACAGGACAGTCGCAACGGCTTCAATTCCTTATCGCGTGTGTGGACCAGAGTTGTGGACGCAGTACAACCATGGCGTTCGCCCTGGAGATAGCCCGCGCATCGTGGTGGTGGTACCTTCCTCTGCGTGGTATTGCGCGAGCGGGAAGCCCGATTGCGCGACAAGGAACATTATAAGTCGTCACACTAACCATGCAGTTTCCCAACCCACTGGCTCAATCAAATACCATTCCGTTAAAGATCCTCCATTCACTAAGTTCTTAAGCGACGCTAATGCTTGTTGTCCCTCGCCACCTGTTACCTTGACTTGACCCGGCTGTCTGTGTTTACTGCGATCTAGCTTAACCTCCGCTTTTACATTCTTTGCGCTCGCAGCCGGCTTCAAAGGGCGGAAAGAAACCATGGCCGACTCGCCAGTAAAGATGGATGAATCGCACGGTTACAAGGAACCTTCAGCGCAAACCGTAGCAAGAGATGGAGAAGTGCCGGTGAGCGTTTTGGAAGATGGGTCGTTGGACCCCGTGTACGAAGCCAAAGCGAAGATGTTAAACAAGGCCATGCAAGATATAGGCATGGGGAAGTATCAATGGCAAGTAAGTATTCAACCATTCGCACTCCCATCTTTGGCGAACACGCTTTACTCAACCAACCTTTCTCCAGACCCATCCCTCATCTCCATCTACTTCCTTCCAGCAAACTGACATCTCCCAGCTCTTCATCGTGATTGGATTCGGCTGGGCAATGGACAATCTCTGGCCGATAGTAACGTCTCTAATCTTCACGCCCATCACCAACGAATTCAACCCCACACGCCCACCTCTACTCTCCCTCTCGCAAAACATCGGTCTTCTCTTCGGCGCCGTCTTCTGGGGTTTCGGTTGCGACATCTTCGGAAGGAGATGGGCTTTCAACCTCACTATCGGTATCACCGCTGTGTTTGGAATGATAGCAGCCAGTAGTCCAAACTTCGCTGCTATTGGTACTTTCGCTGCTCTGTGGTCTGTTGGTGTAGGTGGAAACTTGCCAGTAGATTCCGCCATCTTCCTGGAGTTCTTGCCTGGGAGCCATCAGTATCTGTTGACGATTCTGTCGATCTACTGGGCGCTTGCGCAGGTCTTCGCTACGCTTGTAGCATGGCCATTGCTTGGAAACCTCACGTGTCAGCAGACGGATACGAATTGCACGAGAGGAGAAAACATGGGATGGCGGTACTTCATGATTGTCAGTCCCGAAACCCCTGCTTCCGAAAGTATTCGCTAACACTTTTCGAGGTCATGGGTGGCGTCGCACTACTAATGTTCATCGGCCGCTTCGTATTCTTCACAATCTTTGAATCGCCAAAGTTCCTAATGGGAAAAGGCAGAGACGCAGACGCAGTCCGCATCGTCCACGAAGTCGCCCGCCGCAACGGCAAAGAGTGCACCCTCACACTTGAAGAGCTTGAATCATGCAACAACTACGCGCTACCCGGTACCATCCAGCAAACGAGCACTGCCACCGCAGCAGTCAAACGCAAGCTTCAGAAGCTAGATAGCTCGCACGTCAAAGCCCTTTTCGCGACCAAGAAACTAGCCTTCTCAACCAGCACCGTTACCCTCGTCTGGGCATTCATCGGCCTCGGTTACCCCCTCTACAACGCCTTCCTCCCATACATCCAAGCCACCCGCGGCGCCGACTTCGGCGACGGCTCAACCTACATCACCTACCGCAACAGCCTCATCATCGCCGTACTCGGCGTCCCCGGCTGCATCCTCGGCGCCGTGCTCGTCGAAACACCGCACATCGGTCGCAAAGGCACACTCGCTCTTTCGACAGTCCTTACTGGTGTTTTCCTCCTTTGTTCAACAACGGCGCTCACTTCCAACGCCCTCCTAGGATGGAACTGCGCCTACAACTTCATGAGCAACATTATGTATGCGGTGTTGTATGCATATACACCTGAGATCTTTCCGACCAAAGACCGAGGGACGGGCAATGCGATTACGGCGAGTGCGAACAGGGTGTTTGGTATTATGGCGCCTATTGTGGCTATGTTTGCCGACTTGGAGACGAGTGCGCCAGTTTATGTTAGTGGAGCGTTGTTTATTGCTGCGGGTATTTTGGTGCTTATTTTGCCTTTTGAAAGTAGGGGAAAAGCGAGTATGTAAACGGGCAGGCGCAAAACATGTCATGAACGACACAGATGCGTGGATAGTGTGAATGCATCTATGTACTTAGAACGGGGCTTCTACAAGGAAAGTACAAGAACGAATATGCAAGGAGTTAAAATAATAAAGTCTCAAACAGCCCCTGGGGTAGCACCAGAGGAAACAGCACCCGACGACGTCGTCCCATTAGCACCCGGCCCACCAATCAGATCCGCACCCGTCTGATTCTTGTTCGTAATACCACCACCCGCCTGGTAATCCGCCGCAACACCAAACATCTGATCGTCATTATGATCAGCCGTAGTATTAATCCCAATCTGAATCCAAGCCATCAACCCATCCTCGACCCCATCACCCAAATACACGTACTGAGGAAACGGATCAAAATCGTCATCAGCCTGCACAACCGACAAGAAATCGTCGTCGTTGGTGATATACGGCTGCGTACTGAAGATATAAGGTTCCGTAGCTTCAACCTCAGCTTTCAGATCTTCAGGGTAGAAAAGCTGACCGGCATGTGCGATAGTGCCATCGGCGCCCGTGGTGCCGTTTGAGCGGACGGTCACATTGCTCTTAACGAGGAGGTGCGTGTGTGTTGCGCGATCGGTGTAGTGGCCTGGAAACAAGGTTTCGAAAGCCACGACGCCATCAGCATCTGTTTCTTGGACGCCGCGGAGGAAGGTGGTGTTGAGGCCGCCTTGGCCGGACTCGACGCCGCTGTAGTAGCCCGTGGCGTTGCTGTTCCATATATCGACGAAGAGGTGGGGGACGGGCTCGCAGGTGATGATGTCGACGTATTGCACTTCGAGGTAGAGGTCGATGCCTTTTTGGTCTTCGACTACGTTCTTCCGGATCATTTCGCCCGTGACGTAGTAGGGCCCGAAGGTGAGTTCGGGGGTGAGGATGCATGAGGTGTTTGCGGCGAAGATGGCGCTGGTGGGAGTGTCGGGTGTGTAGTTTATCGTGCCGGTCATGTTGTGATTGACCTTTTCGAATTCTTGGAGTTGCGCCAAATCACGACGGTACTTCTTGGGCTCTGCATGTTGATGTTAGCCATTGTTGTTGGAAACAGGGTTGAGATGTTGGGGTAGAGCATACTTGCAGTGATTCCACGCTTCCGACGAAGCTCATCCAGCGTGTTCGCGCGACGTTCTTCAGAACGCCGCATCAAGCTTCGGTGCTTGAGCGTATTTTGACATCCAGCCAAAGAACGTCTCGCTGCAGCAGCGCGCAGGCCACGAGCTTCGATCTCGCGTTTGATTTTGGCGTGGTCGTGTGTCTCGCCGGGGTGAGCTATGATGGTGCTAAAGAGAGAGGTGACTGTAGCGGCGCTGGTGAGGACGGAGGCGAGTTTGACCATGTTCGATTGCTAAATTTAGTGAAAACAGAAGTTGGTATGATCTGTTGAACAATTGAAAGGTACCAGGATTTGATACAGCCAGCTAGCGACACCGGAGAAATGATGATGATGATGGAGCTATACACTTCACATCGATACTGACTGCCTTTATACAATAGTATGTATCTCATAAAAACTGCCTGAGATATACCACTAACTTCGTATTCCTACATGTAGACCTAAAGCGACGATGTACGATTTTAGTATATGTCTCACACGCATTTCGTACATGGGAGATCTTACCCCTACCTAACCGTGTTGACTCTTGTCATCCTATCATGTCGAGCACTGAAGCCATTACCACTTCATCACCCATACCAAAACTTCGTCACGATATGTGACGCGGCAGTCGACAATCCAGGTCTCGCCTGGAATAGCTTTTCGTTGTACGAAACTCTAAGCCATTCGTACTACATCTAGTGCTATTCGTCATACTGTATAACGCGGCCATATCCATGCGAAGTGGGTCTGAATGTGTTCGTCTGCCCGGGGAGGTTGAAACGAATCAAACAATGAGGTCTGGCGGACGGGGCGGCTGAACGAAGTGGGTCACGGGGAAACGGGAAACGCTAAGACTTGCCAACAGCCCGAACGAGCGGTAATAAAATCTCTCCCATTGGTTATCATCAGCATCAACTTCAAGACGTATGCGTATACGAGTTGTCGTAAGCTTCGTCGGACTTGTTGTTGATCTTTAGATTGCTATTGATGTACGACCGATTCTCTACAAGGCGAACATTACCTGCGAGCTCGACTCCAACCCGCACAGTATCACACTGATCTCATCACTTGCTTCCCCAGGCCTTCTTCATCAACTCCTCGACACCGATCGGCTGAATCTGGGGAAACTCATGGTTTCTCAGGCCATCCTTAGAGACATCCATGTTCACACGTACAGCCAACATGCTGAACTCGACGACCAATGGTTGAATGAATTCCGGAGGAAACTCGTATGAGCCTTCTGGCTGCTGGAGCACCGTAGCTTGACCCTTCTCCAACTTTTCGATGGTATCGTAGGTGATGTCCCATTTCGTGCCTGTCATTCAAAAGGTTAGCTTCATTCCCAATCGCCATGATGTGGGCAGTAAGGATGACTTACCCGTGACCTTCTCCGCCAACTCAACAGCCTTCTTCCACGTCAACGCATCGGAAGCAAAAGGACTAAGCTCAGGCCACTTCTTCTCGTCATCCAACGTCGCAACAATATACTTTGCCAAGTCCGTCGAATGGATGAACGACACCGCCGAATTGCCATCACCCGGCAACACCGCCTTCTTGTTCTTGAAGTCCAAAGCGTAGTTGAAAGGCTTCATGTTGGACTTGACATGCGGCATGGCAAAGTAGTCCGAGTACCAGCCTAGGAAGACGCGCGTGAAGTCGATGTGAGAGTTGCGAAGTAGATCGGCGGCATCGAGCCACCATTTCGCTGAGGGGTACACGTCGAGGATGCCGGGTTGGGAGTAGTTGACTCCGTATTCGCTGGGCATGAGGCGCTTTACGTTGCCGGCGTCGATGGCGGCGTGGATGAGGTTTATCTGCGAGTCTGCGCCTGGTTTGTCGAAGAGGCGGAGTGCGGATATGACGATTTCGATGTTGTTCTTCTGGAGTAGGTCTTTCATTGATGCGACGTCGTCGTAGTTTGTTTCGAGGACTGGGGTGGATTCGAGGCCTGGTAGCTTGCTTGCCTGGATGTTAATTAGTGATGTGTCAAGTCAGGTGGGTTTCGTGTTCATACACTTCGGCTTAGGATCAAAACTTGGTGTTTGCCTTGCCGCACAAGTTCTTCGACAATCGTGCGGCCAATGCCGCCGGTGCCTCCGGCAACTGCTACAGTGACCATGGCTGAGTTTCGAATGACGATAGTCGATGGAAAGACCGAAGATGGAAGTGTGTAGTGGATGATACAGTTGAAGAAGCTACTGAGAGCTGGTAGAGCAGTTCCTGATCTTTAGAGGCTATTGCAATAGATCTTATATGGCCAGCATGTGGACGAAACCCGGTCGAAGGATTCATGTCTGCACGAAGTGTATTGACTACCCATTACCGTGTACCTTGGCATAGCGACAGGAAGTTGCTCGTAGACATCGATAGAAGCTACGCGGCTGCAAATATCCGCTCGTAAATCTCCCGTCCACTGAGAAGTCGCGAATGCAACATGAAGACCTTGGCAAGGCGCATAACGTGACTACCCCAAGACATCAGTGTAAGCCCTCAGTATGTGAGTTGCGGCGCCATGCCGGACTCACGGACATTTACAAAGCGCGAAAAGGGCGAAATCAGGGCGGGGAAAGGCTTGAGATGGATGCGCTAGCCCCATATGGGTTAGGCTAAGCCTAGTTGAGCGTCATACGCCGGTGATATCACCGTAAACTGGGAACTTCAATGAACAAATGTCCTTGAATTTCCAGCTGAGTACCTACATACACCTCGATTTCGCTGACAAACGTTCTTCGTCCGGTATCATGTTTTTCGTCCTTGACCGCGACTATTTGTCCTGACAAAACGCTCAATCGCGCTGTCCACGGATCCCGCTCGTGGCATTTATGTCCTTAACCCATCACGGGGATTCTTCTTCTTCCAAGCATTTCTTTTCTGTCATTTAGCCTCCCATGTTCTCTGACAGCGTCTTCCAGATAGTGCGCAATGAAAAAAGTACGTGGAGTAGATCGAGCGTCTCCATATCAAAGAAAGCGCCCAGCAGCCGACGAACACCCGCGCGACGCGATACACTCGGAAACGACTCGTTGCCCGTCTCTTCTTCTGCTGGAAATATTGCGTCTATAACATAGCATAGAGACAAAAAGAATCTCATTGATGTAGACGAACCATTCACTCGAGCCTCGTATGGCCTACATGTCACAACCGCCACCTCTTCAAAACACCAAAATCACACAACCACAATGTTCACACCCATTTCTTGAAGCCACCCCATCACCGAAACACCATCTCCCCTCCAGCAATAAATACCACAGAACACCATCACCGCCCTCTAGCCCCCATTACTCTTCGCACCTCACCCCGGCACACATATATCACCTCCACAGTCACCATGCTCCCCTTACTAGTAGCAAGCTTCCTCAAGGACAGGATCCTGAACAAAACCTTCTTCGTCTGCATCTTCACCCTCATCTCGCTGATCATCTACCTCTTCGTGCTTCTCGGCTGCATAAGCACAGGTGCTGGCATCGAGAGTCTGTATTGGGTGATGATATCGCAGAATGGGACTGCTGGACAGCCACCTGTTGCAGTGCGGATAGGGTATTTTGGTACGCACATCTCTTAACTGACATTCCGCGTGTTGGTATTAGTGCTGTATTGGGATTTGAGGTTACTGACAGTATAACAGGCCTCTGCACATCTTTCCCACCAAACACAACAGCACCCAGCGATAACCCCACACCAGCACCGTTGGAATGCTTTCCTGGCGACACACCACCAGGTCTTTCCAGTATACCGATGACGCACCCTGTCCTCGCCTCCGCCCTGGCACTGCAGAAATCCTCTTTATATCCTCTTCCCGCAATCGCCTCATCGCTCTTCCTCATCTCTCTAATCTACTACTTCATCTTCCGTGAGCGAGGCGGCCGAAATGAGAAGGCTT